TTTACTTAAAAAGCAAACTTCATTATTTTATTTTATTTTATTTTATTTATTTATTTATTTTTTTGCCTTTTACTTAGTAGCATTGTTTTTATTTCCCAAATGTGCATTAATTCACAAAAGCATGTTGGGTTAAAGGTTTTTTGAGCTGTACAAATCATGATGACTGCACTGCAGCGGAGCCGGAAATTTGTTAAAATGAACCCTGTATGACATTGACCCTACATTTCCTCTTTTTGCTCTTTTTCTTTCTTGACGTTTGATTCCTGTATACGGCGTCTTACAAAGATGCACGTAATTATTTCTTTTTTTAAATGCAAATTGATTTATTAAAAGTATTTCAATGCTGCTAGAAGACTCGGGATTTATCTTGTAGTAACATTTTGTGTTAATCTTTTTTTTTTCTTTTTGAAGAAATACTTCACAAAACTCTATTCAGATAGGATAGATATTTAAAACAAACAAGCATCAATTTTGACTTAACCTACCTTAGACATTTACTTAACATTTTCTCATCTATATTTTTACATTTTTTCCAACTATATTTTAGTTTTATTTATTGAAAACATGTACCATGAAATTACTTTATGATTTTTTGATACAGGTAACACTACGTGTATATGCTAATAAATTGTATCTTAGATTTTATTTCTTTGACGAAAAGAATCTGATCCTTGTGTAGCGATCTATGTGAGCGGATCAAAGGATCTGATTTTAATAAGAATGGGTTGAAAGTTATTACAAGCATTTGAGCAGATGTGTGAGAGAAAATGAGATTCAGCCTTTCTTGCATACAACCGAAATCACTGGTTGCTATGTTAAAAATGTAACTTCTGTTTTAAAAAGTGTGTTCGCATTATTAAACGCATCGGAAGAAAATATGATTTTGTACTGGAGTAAAAATATTCTTACATATTGCAATGTACCTGGCCCCGGTCATTCACGTGCGTGACTTAATTCTTTTACAGATATATGAATTTTGGTTTGATATTTAATTTTATTGTGTGGAAACTACAAATTTATAAATTAACAAATTTTATAACGTTTAGAATACATCCTCTCTTAACACAAGCATGCTTACATTTATGGGTTATAATTTTGATAAATATTTCATTGAAATCTTTTTCAGGACATATATTACATACCCATATCTTGACCTACACCTTTTTTTTTCAACTTTATCTCACGTTTTCTGATATTGCAGCACAAATTTAGCCAAGAGTGGTCCATTCCTTCAGCTGTTATGTAGATTATCTTATACATGTACTAAATTCTAATGATATTAAAAACACTTTCTATGACAGATGTTTATTATCTTAAATTGTAATTTTTAAAGTGTAGAATAGCTTTAAATATTCTCGAATTTATAAAAAATAATAATAATTAAATTTATGGTGTACAGAATTAAGATTGTCAAGACCGCATATCAGAGCTAGAGAATGTAAACAGAGGAGTTAATTATATATGCATTCATCGAGGTCTTTTTTCATAAGTAAGTTCGAAGATAATAACTGTATATCATAATTTAATCTCTACGAAATTTCATTCGTTGTTTATGGGACGCAATGATGATTATAGTTTGTGAATAGCGTCGTTTAATTGGTGTTTTAGAACTTCCACACAACACGGAAAATAACGTAAATATTTTTTTTTTTTAAGTTTCCATGTGTCTGTTTCCTTGTCAAAATCCCATATAGGGGATGAAATTAAGAATTAAGTCAGTTTCAATGTTGGGGGCGTTTAAATTCATATTTCCATATATACAGACTTCTCTTTACCATGCATTATCAAAGGCGTTTTTTTCGCCTCTTATCATGGCCGTAGGAACCGGGGGGCACGGGGGGGGGGGGGGGGCGTGCTCCCTCCCCAATAATTTTGCCGATATACAGATTACTATAGAAAACATAGCTATTGTATGCTTGCGCCCCTTCAATAAAAACGTCTGATGACCTTTTTTTGTTTTTGTTTTTTTTTTCAAGGAAATTTTGATAGTTGATAGTGCCCCCAACTGAAAATGTATGGCTGTGCCCCCCCCCTCCGAAATTGATTCCTACGGGCCTGTCTATTGAGTAATATGGCATAGTAAAAAGACGACTGCAAAACTAAAGCGTCTAATTAATATATTTTGTGTGCTACAGACTGAATTCGGGAACGCCCGCACAAATATATGCACATAATTATACACTTTAAACTCAAATTAAAGTACAGGAATTTGATTAAGTTTTCGTTTGGATATGTCATTTGATGACATCTGAAAGCAACTATATATATATAGTTTAAGTAAGATAATTCAAAATGATTAGAAATAATTAGTTTTAGAAGGATTTTTTTTTTGTGGGAGTTATTCACCATCCTGGATTCATATCATATTTACAGTTTATAAAAATAAAGACTAAGTGAGGTTAATATTTAAAATGGCTTCTTGGTATTCCTAAAAGAGGTGACGAAATCGTCATCATGCGATTAGAGTTGATTGACCACGCGTACGGAACCGAAGGACACATTCATGAGCCTTATTGATCACATTTAAGTCACTGTATTCAAGGCCAAGATTCCGACGCATAGGGATTATCACCAATGTCGCCATTGAAAGAAAAAAACAAAAACAGATCGTACGACTGGGGAAGAATGACGGGGCTTATTTATTTGGGGTTGTTTAATAATTGTCAAATTTTAGGAAATGGTCTTACCGAGTTACGTATACAAAAGTAACCTTGTTCCGGCCGAACTTGTTTATGACAGTGAAAAACATCTTGTAGACGGAATCGAATTAACAATACACACTGCCCTATGAAGAACAACGGACAGATTTTCGTCAATGGTAATGCGTGAAATTTTGTTTACAATCATTCTCAACACAACTAAAAAATATACATGTACTACAAAACCACAAAGACATCATAAAGTCGATGAATTGCTCCAACCACAACAAAATAAATTAAGTCAATTGAGTCATCTCATTCAGTTTATTGGCCCCAGGTGTATAAAACAATATAGGCGTTTCTGACTATAAGCAAAAAAAAAAAAAAGAGTACATCTATTACATACACAAGGTCATTGTCATAATGTTGTCTTTAAATTGCAACATGATGAATTATTCAAAGCATTCCTCTTGCACTGAAATCTGTGAATGGCCTTGAAAAAAAAATTCAAAGTTCAGTCGTCATATTTTTTATTAATTATATCATGGGCGGATACAGGATTTGTGATTAGGGGGGGGGGCGTGGATAACTTCGTTTAGGCAGGGAGTCTGGGGGCCGCCTTACGGCCCCCAGTGGGTCCAGGGCGAAGCCCTGGTGGGGGCCCAGGGGGCGAAGCCCCCGGAAGCTCCTGGGTTTTCGTGTATTTTAAGAGTAAAACCATGCACAATAATAGTGGTATTGGTTAGTTTATATGTACCAAAGTTTGGCATTATTAATACTAGTCATATCGTACTTTGAATAGAGGTGGCCCAGGGGGCGAAGCCCCCGGAAGCTCCTGGGTTTTCGTGTATTTTAAGAGTAAAACCAGGCACAAAAATAGTGGTATTGGTTAGTTATATACCAAAGTATGGCATTATTACTATTAGTCATATCATCCTTTGAAAATTTTAGGGGGGGGGGGGCGTGCGCCCCCCACGCCCCCCCTTAAATCCGCCAGTGTATATAGTGACCATTATGGCTATAATCTCATCTTAGTCAGTTTGCAGACTCATTATGTATGACAGGTTTCCTTGTTCCAAGAAAGGTCACTTCAGGATAGTTATTATCTCATAACCCTCCCCCCTTCCTATCGAGCCAAAGATAATCAGGCGCTTAAGAGCACGAGCACTTGCGTCTCCTTACTGTTTAACCTGTTGAGAAATATATCTATGTATAATTTAAAAAAAAAAAAAAACATCTGGTTAAGAGGATCACGACTTTCCGCGATAGACCTCGATCGATATGCACTGTGTCATAAGATAAATCAATGATTATAAGTTCGATAATAATTAAGTACATTCTTTTCTACGTATTACAAATCGTCCAGGTAAACAAGATAACCTTCAGAAACTAGGTAAACAAGGGCAACTTAATTAGCATAATTAATAAGAGACGTGGACCTTGAGTGGACTGAAACGGTCAAAGGCTGTAGTCTCACAAATGCAACAGGCTGGATTTCAGAATTAATATACGTAAAACTATGCATGGTAATTTTCTGGAGAAAATAAGTGCAAAGAGCAATTTATCATATTCTCTGATGAGTCTGTAGCTTTACTGATGTGTATTTACCTGTAGATTTAGTTAGAGTAAATTTACACCTAGACTTAACTTTTTTAGTTCTATATTTACAGATTTAAGTATCCTGATCATTAATACAAGAAACAAACTAAATAAAGAAACAAAATTACAATAACTGTTTTTTAAAACATATCATTGAAATTTATTTCAGAGAAGAAATTAACCACAGTAAAATATCAGATTAAAAGAAGAAAAAGTATTTTTTCTTTTAAACATTGCAATTTATTTTTAAAAGACAATAGACATGAAAAGAGGTCAGATAAATACATCTGAAATATTGTATTCGAACACAATCAAGTTTAAAACAAGAGCCTCAACAGCACCTAGTAGACATTACTGCCCTTGTACAAATGAAAAATCCTACATCAATAGGTGGGAATATTGCATGTAAATGCACAACAAAGATAATATTCAAATCTAAGTAATAGTATACATAAATGTTACTTTATGTAGCTGGAATACCCCATCAGCAGAATCAACGTTTGCAATGAATAAAGAAAAATGCTTATATTTGGTTTTTCTCATCATCAACTTCTACTGTTAAAAATAATATCAAAATACAAAAGATATTTCACAAATTTTGTGTGGTACAGACAAAAGTGTTACTACAAAAAAAAAATAAAATAAAGGATGTAACAACAAAGTGGTTTCAGTTTGCTGTACTTGTGTGTTTAAACATGATGTGTTTGCTATACACTATGTTTTACAGTAATTTCTGCTTATTACCCCCCCCCCCCCCCCCCAACACACACACAAAAGACATCACAGTAAATTTTCCAGTCCATCATAGATTATATTTCTCTAGTTAAAAGTCTTTACTTTATGATATATCATGAAATCTCTCACTTTTAAGGTTCATCGATACTCTGTTATGAGAGATAGCTCGAGCTGGGATAAATTTCTTTTATTCCTCTATAATTTTGTCAAGTTAAAGGTCATTTTTGTCAAATTTTGCCCCACAAGCTATGTTGATATTTTATTTTTTGCATTTTAATCATTAATTACAAATCATCTGGAAAATCATAAGCATGAAAGCAAAATTTTATACAAGTGAACAGAGGTATGATGGACCTTAAACTTAGCAGTGCACACAATACAAGGAATAGACAAAACATACAGACACGCAAGTCCATTATTAAGAATAAATGCCTGCTGTTGATAAATTCAGGTATACCTTTTCTTGGTCTTTAAACTATATAATGCATGAAATTTTTAACAAACTACATAACAACACTACACACTAACATACACACAAATCAAACCAGTAACAAACCTGTGGAATGTTTTTTAAAAAAAAAAACTATGTCAATAAATAAAGATATGTAGGCATACATTCACACCATAATCATAACACATATCATATAACATAAAAGATCATTTGCTCTTGAAATAAATTTCCTTTCTAAATGATGAAAGAGATTTCTATCAAAATAATATAAATCTTCCAATTATGAATAAAAATAAAATTTAGTGTAGTTCTTTGAAAAAAAAAATAAATGCATAGAGGGTGAAAAGTATTTATCAGGTCATCACAAGAAAATTTTCTTTACTTTTACCTGAATTTATCTGTCTGATCTTGTTCTGATGCATAAAATTCATGATTGTGTAAACTATCTTAATAAGAATGAATATAAGTGTCAAGAAAGAAATATATCATAAAACTCACTCACAAAATACCTTCTTTGCAAAAAGAGTATAGCAATGACAAAATTGATAAAAAGTATTTTCACTCCAAAAACATAATCAATACAAAAGCAGATTTTAACAATAGGACTAATGAAAAGTCAACATCTGCAATATTCTAAAAAACAAACAAACAAATGCAATTTAACAACTCCCTGCAGAATAAATCAAAAAATACTTTAAGGTGCCATATTTGGACTTCAAAACATTTTTAGTATTATAAATACCCAAGCAGAATATATAAATTTCTTTGAATTATTTTGTGTAAATGTAATACTTCAGAGAACTTATTAGTCAGTATTACAAAATCACAGAGGAGCTGTAAAATACATTATATATTGGGCAACTAAATAATTAAGTAAATAAAATACCTGACAATGCTCTACCAAATGTGGAAAATGAAAGTTTGAAGGATATGAAATCAGTTCTGAAGGCTTCAAGCTAAAAAAGCGTATTATTCAAGTAATTGTGCACTTCCCTTCCATAATTATCCATGTACAGTTGTAATGGCTCAAGTACACACTTTTGCATCAAAATTCTAGATATCATCTCATTTTCATACTACATGTACATACATATGTATCAGATTCAGTATTGCACAGTACAGTAGATTTTTGCTTCAATCAGGACAACAGTGAAAAGGAAACCTGGCCTCAATTTTTATTGAGAGAAAAAAATTCTTAATTCCAAAGTATAGAACTGCTATTGAAACAGATTTTTTCCCATGCAATGCAATTCCTAACCACTGTCTAGACATTAAAATGCTGGCTGCAAGGTTCAAAAGAGATCAATAGTTGTTGCAATGAATTTCTCTATACAGTCTATATAGAGATATAACACAATAAGAAAATAATACACAAGCCATCAAAGCTGGCAAGAATAAGCTTTCATTTCACAGAACATGAAGGTAGAACCAGAGATTCTACACAGTGTTTAAAAATGTGCAACAAAATCAAATTTAATGTAATTTACAAACAGGTAGCTCCAGATCTTGTAAAGCAGCGTCTGCGACTATAGGTAAATACTATTTCTTTATGAGCATTAACAAGTTATACTACACAAAACGTAACTCACTTCAAGTACAATTATATGCAAAGATAATTACTACACATGTATACTACACAATGTACAATCTGGTTGTTGCGAATATCAATTTTTTTTTTAGCCCTCTCCCTCCTTCCCTGTTCACTCTAAAAAGAAAAGGTGATGTTTAGACACAAAAATTGCTTTCATATTTAAATATAACATTATAACAATAAATTTCAATTGGATGAGCTTCGTAAATATTACTTATTGTTTTAACATTTTTTTATAAAGAAAAAACTATACTGAAGTGAAATTACAGCAACTCTTTTAAGTAACATCTGTTTTTTTTTTCTTTAAATGGCCATATAATGGTAAAATTGTAAAACAGAATCCGATTTTTTTATCTTTTTTTAAACCAGAGGTCAGTTAACAAAATAACATCCATTAAATTAAGCACTTGAGTTCTGAGACATTTTTAGAAAAAAAAAATCATTTATCAACATACTTTACAACCTTCTCCTATAACATGATCAATGCTATTGAAAAAAAAAACAACAATAGTGCACCTTTACTTTCTCCTAGCTGAGACAATACAAGGTTGAATAATTGTCACATTATTAATGAACACAACCATCATAAAATATCAAATTGCTAAGTTGTCTCATTTGCATTTTTAAACAAAAGTCATTTTGATGATTTACACTACCCATAGCTAGGAGTAAACACAACAGTTACAAAAATGTGCTTTTTGCAAGTGTTCAAGCAACAAATTTTTTGCACCATTTCTAAGTTTTAAATGTCTGCAGACACCTTTTCCTATATGTATGAATTGTTGTCATTAGTGTAAGATTAAATTTCCAAGTCATTGACATTCTGTGCAAGGTACATAAAGGTCGGAACAGCATAAAAAGAGTTGTTTAACATTACACATGTACATGTACGACATAGATATTATCACAGAGACCTCCACCATTGTTTTTGTGAGTGAAGTCAAAGTTAATCTTTAGAGCCATGGTGTGTGCACAGAACAAAAAGCAATATCTGCGACAGCAAAGCTTCTGCACTACAAGCAGTTTATGAAAACGTGCTGCTCCTTGGTTTTCCTCTCCCCAAATGGAAGCCGTTGGTTCCATCAGGTCCTCTGGGCTGTCGAATGACCCCTTCCATTCCATACATCTTGTGTTTTTCAGGGCTTTTTCCATTAACCTGACTGCCTGACGTTTGGCTTTTATCCTGAGCAGCCAGCATTAGCCTTCTCTGCACCCATGGGCTTGATGGTTTACCATCTGCAGAATTTTCATATTTTTTTCTACCCAAGTCTGGGCTACCCTGAGGACTCAACTTTGGACTAGTACTAGGACTTTTCTTGTCATCAGCCAAAGGTGAAATCCCATGAAAATTTCTTCTTCTGGACCTTGGGCTGGTTTTAGGACTAGATTTTGGACTTGACCTCGGGGAGGAATTAGGACTCAGACGATTAGAGTCATACTGATTTGGACTAAGAGTTCTTTTGAGCATAGTATGCTCTTGATTTGGACTCATGGTTCTTTTCAGTTTTTGGTGTTCCATTTGGTTTCCACTCAAAGTTTTCTTGAGTGAAGGATGTTCTTTATGATTAGGACTCATTGTTCTCCTAAGTGCAGGATGTTCCATATGATTTGGGCTCAATGTTTTTTTAAGCACTGGATGTTCCATGTGATTTGGACTCAGTGTTTTCTTGAGGATTTGGTGTGTTCTGTAATTGCCTTTTTGAGGTGTGCCAAACTCTGCCTCTGAACCACTACTGTAGTAGCAAGAAGAATCGTTGTCTGCAAGTTCATCAACTCTATTTTTCTTTCTTCTCTCCCTCCTCTTCTTTTTCTTATCCTTCCCTTCACCATCATCTTCTTTTCCAGAATCATCACCATTCTCCTTCTTTTTATTCTCTTTCTTTTTCTGAGCAGCAAGTAAAACAACACGCATGCCCTGACGCCAGTCTTCAGTATCGTTCATTGTTTCACAAGCTTTTTGGGCTGCTTCATGTTTCTCAAATTCTACAACAGCACAGGTTGTTGTACCAATTTCTGGATGCTTGATGGAATGTTTTTTCACATCTTGTGGCACTGACTTCCCTGGTCTTAAAATCCTAATGAGCGAAACTTCCCCACACTTAGAAAACATTTCTGCCACACTCTCAATGGATGGGTTTTCCATAGGTAAATTAACCACCACTACTGAACGTGATGGGGTAGTTTCATCCCATTCTGGCAGGGGATCCTTTCGCCGTACTTTCCTTCCCTCTTCATTCACTTCTAGTTTTTCAGAGTGTCTCAGGCTATAAGCAACAACCCGATAATCTTTTGTTAAGGATTTCACTTTCTTAAAAGAGGTTATGAGTTTGATACTCACAAACCCTTGCTTGTTTCGACGCACATGCTTAAGCAAAAATGCATCCTTCAAAATGTTAGGATCAGAAAAGTAGAATTCCACCTGTTTGATAATTCTGTCTCGGAGTTCATCATCTGGTGCCACAAACTCCGGCTCGTCCGCAGTCCGGTTTTCGTCATGACTACCTTCATGACTCCCTGCTTCTTCCTCGCTGGTGTACGCAGAACTATTGCCATCTTCCTCAACTCGCAGTCGCTCCACCTGGAGATGTACTGGGGTGAGGCTCCTCTCTGTCACACCGTTGTCCCCAACAGATTGTTCCCCCGTCAGCTCTTCACGGATTTCGGGGACTTCGATTTTCTGCTCCAGAGAACTCATTTTAGTATCCTAGAGAGAAAACACTCACCACAAACACAGAAGAATTAAATCTCTTTTCGTAAAAGGCAGCAAAAATGCGGAAAATACCACAAGACTCTCTGCCTGTTTACTCGTAAATGTGGCTGTGTTTTGCGTTCCCGATGTGTGACGTCAGTTCCGATTCTGACCAATCCTCCTATAATCAGAGTACTGAAAGTACTGTGAAACTTACAGATTACACAAATTGTCGATTCTTCAATCAACTAACACGGAAGTATAAGTATTGACTTTAATTATCGGAAATGCACTGTCATTAGTTTTCTCTTCTTGCCACGCAAAGTTAAACACCTTTATAACACTTTAAGAGTTTTAACGCTCCTAACTATCAAATCGTCGATTTTTATTAATTATTTTTATTCACAAGCATTTATATAGAATGTTTTTTTTAATGTGGTGGGGGTACCCAGAGAAAAAAATCAACTTACCTGAAAAATGAAAAATTTTCCATAGAAAATAGGAACCCGGGGGGGGTCAACTTCTTTCAATAGTCTCGATCATCCAGACGCTTGTCTTTAAACCAATAACAAAGTTGAGGCGTCCTGATGATCAAGACAAGATTTTCAATCTTTGAAAAAAAACGAACAAAAGAAAATTGCAATAAAAGAAATCAACAGTACGATTTCTTATATCATTATTTTTGAAAAAAAAATGTTTGCACTAATGGATGACTGCACTAAAGAACATGCGAAATTTGCGACAAAATAAACTTTCAAAACAAGCATTTTTCTTTTCATTGCAAGAATGGTCAACATCCAATCTAAACTTTATGTAATTACGTTTAATAAAAGTGTGTATTTACGAAGTTCGAATCTGTTTTCAAAGGCAGGGGTCATCACAATTTCTTGAATCCCCGTTCGATAATGAGGACGCCCATTTTTTTACTGACTTTATACATAGTCAGCGCATGTTTGTCTATTGTTCTGCGTTTAAAAGTAGTTGTATATTTGCATAAATAACAAGCATTCTGAGAGTATTGCATTAGCAATACTAGTCCCCTACCGGCAAGTGTAATCTGGTTCCCTTTAAGAATTAAAAATGTCATAATTCCGTCAAAAATCAATGAAGCGGAACGAAATGCAAACTTGATCTGTAACTCATCAAGATACACTCACATACCAAAAATCAGCTCAATATCTGCAAGCGTTTAGGGAAAAAGTGTGGAAAACCAAGTGGGACAGACAGACAGACAGACAGACGGACGGACAGACTCAGAGGAAACCTGTAGTCCCCTCCGGTTTCACCGGTAGGGGACTAATAATGTGTCAAAAGGAGATTAATAGACAAACATGCACTCATGGTTAAAAAGAGAAAAAACTGCTTCTACTTACGTTGTAACCAAGGATTGTGACTTGTTGAATATTATAATTCACCACGTGGTTTCTTACCTCAGGTTACTCTGTGAATACTAAATTCCGTCACGTGACTTGTAAGATAGCATGTTTTGCGCTAACTAGGACATTGTGTTCGAACACGTTAAGTCATCTGGCATTGATATAAAATCGGCTCTAATTACATTGACGTGCTCATATCGTTAATTTCGTTTTGAAACCTTTGTCAGAAGTGTATTTGTGCCATACAGAATGGAGAGGGAGATTGGAAAGAGTGATAACGTGTTTTTTTTTTCAAACATGTCATTGTTATTTATCAAGTCTAATTTTAGAGCCATTCTTACAATGTTAACTCCACCTCTCATGCATATCTAATGTTCAATCAAGGGCAGGTAAGTGCAAATTCACTATATTTGGAAAGCAGTGAGGACAAAAAACATCGAATCATTTTATTGTATCACAGTCTAAAATCATTTTAAGATTCAAATTTGGTTTCAAATTGACAGGATTCTTTCATAAACATACACAAGTGAAATAAGGTTTAGATATAAAAGCAACAGAAGCAACCGAAAAAGACCCCAAAACAGGCGTTAAGTGCAGTCATCCTTTCCATGGTTAAGAAAAATTGCATGAAAAATTAAAATGTGTGGGGTTTTTCCCTACTGTCTATAATATGGTAAGGTTATGATTATATAATGTCTTTATTGTCGAGGTGTTTCAAAAATCAAAGCGAAAACTACTTAAAACGGCAAACCTTTGGGGGAAAAAACACACTTGTACTATTTCTCGCTAAATAAAGCTGTACAATGAATATCACTAGTTAATGATGGGCGGTAAATCTGATACCATGCTCCCGACAACCCCTTTAGGATTTCGATATATTGATATTTTTCAAATCACTGAGCTGCACAAAACCGTTTTATATTTCCCAGACACATTTGCTAGTATATTAAACTAAATTTACATGTACATATACATTTTTACATCATCGATGATACGCATGGCAGCATTTTAATTCTACTGGACCGAGATGCGTAACTTAACAAATTAATGTCCATTTTATGTTTTCTGAACCCAAAAGTAGATGAACCGTTTTTTGATTGGTGGCATTTCCAGTTAAGTCTAACTCTTGTTGTTCCTGGGAAGTTTTAAGCAATGATTTACTATATGTCAGAGAAATATAAATGAAACCCTGGACCGTATATGGAGTCGGGATTCAGAAATTATCATTTTAGTATATTTAATTCTAAGAAATTCATTTATATGCGTAAAATCATTTTTACATAACAAAGTTACCTGTGAAGTATGAAGATATTCTGTTCAGCGGTATGGAGAATACCGGCTGATCTCTATCCAGAGTTGTCTTCCGCTACGCTTCAAACACCTCTGTCAAAGCTCGTTTATTTCTAAAGTTTTTAGGGAACTATTTTGCGGAATGAAAATTAAAAACTTAATTAAAAAATCCTTTTAAGGCGTAAAGATTAAAATAAATCCTGTTTTCAGATGAGAAATGTAAATTAAATCAATTATGAATACAATTTTTCATCATTTATGTTGTACAATTTTTCCAAGAATCTGGCATAGCAAACGTTGACAGAGGTGTATGTGGGAGCATAGGGGGAACAACAACTATGGATAAAGAATGTAATAAATATCACAATTTAGGACGGAAGAACAATCGGGAATTTGTTATACTAGATTTAACACATGCTTCGGCTGAGTCAAGCGATAAATCTAGTTCTGTCGACTCCGGTCCGACTCTCTCAGTTTTCTGTTGCTGCTTTGTATTTGCCAGGCACATTTATTACATTGAAATACTTTTCAACCTACATTAATATATTAACAATGTTATGCATAATGTGATGAATTGAGTACTTTTGATTTCCAATTTCCAACCATCGATTTTTTTCCAGATTGCTATTTACATAAATTAATTATTCTTCATTTCACCAAAAAAGAATCACTTTTAACTTCTCGGACATATTGGCTTTGTTAAAGTGAATTCCCAAACGTTTATTTACAGTTATATATGTATGATAATGACATCTGTCCAAATGCGTAAAATTAAGTATTAAATTATATATAAATGTAGAAACTCAGAACGAACTGCTCAATTAATTTAGTCCATAAATGCCACAATTTGTAATAATTTTGATATTTTTATTTTTTGAAATTATTTCAACGAAGTGCATATGGCTAAAAGTTTGATTTGAGGCTATTATTCGATGTGGAGAAAATCAATGAAAAACATTAATCAGAGAGAGTCGGGAGTCGGCAGTAATGTTACTAGTTTTACCGCCTCCCCTTGGCTGATGTCATCTTACTTTCATTTTCCGAAACATTCCTAAATGTTGTGAATCGTTTTGTATTGTCTTACAGTTTTATATTGTTTTTTTTTTCGTACCAGATTTATACGTAGCAGAAAAAGGTAAGTTAATGTACTTTCTGAGAAAATTTAATTCATCAAACAAAGTTGAACGAGCCCGGGCACGAGGGAACACGCCTCTATCAGCACTGTAGTGTGTCCTATTTAGCGTTTAATCCCTATGTGTCATTTGCCATAATAGTAACAAGAACTAGAAACCCGAAATTAAGTGAAAATTTTGGTAATGTTATCACCGACACTATCCTTCAATTTTTTATCATGATGGTTAGACACTTTGTATTTCGAAGTATTGTCGAAGTTAAGAAAAGATGAAAAAAAATGATTGAGAAATAATCCCAGCAAGGTGGGAAAATTCTGGGGAATCCCAGAATTTATGAAGAAATTTATAATAAACAGCATCAGTAAATTTTAGATAGAAGTGCACAACATGTTGCTATGCATATCCACAAGAGTTAGCAATTTTATTAATAAAGTGAAAATATCTGATAAACATGATAAATGGTCATAATTCTTACCAGTAAGCTTAATTTGTATTCGTAGTGAAAAGTTAGGTAGCTCACTGGGAGGATTAATGCTTGTTTCTCATTTATTATCACTTTCTGATAAAATTGCCAACTCCTGTGTCATATCCTTATTTCAACATCCATGATAATGTTAAAACCATTTATTGAGGAGAAAAATGAGAAGAACCTGCAAAAGTTTCCAACCCACCCTACTGTCTAATCCCCTGAATCACTAGTCAGGTGCACTACCAACTGAGCTATCTGGCCAGCAGTGATCAAACCTGTATAACTGCCACATTTTTCCCCCAGACACCAATCCAGGCTTTTTCTTGGCAGGTTTTTTACCTGTCACCTCCAGGGCTAGATAGAATGTTTTATCGTTATTAGGACTGCGCAATAATATTGATATTCTGGTATATTACAGTTCGATAACAAGAAATATTGTATTGCAATACGTTTTTCGAGTACATTAATGAAGTAAAATATGAAATTTAAGATGTCAGAAATGTTTTCAATCGTGCCATACAGTACCAAACGGTAAAAGTTTCTGTTGTATGGTTGCATTTCATTGCCAAACTGTAGTGAAATCAACTAGAATGTTTTTGTTACAACATATTTACAAAAGTTTTATACACTCTGCTTACAAGTGGAGGTTAATAAAACAAGAAAAGAGCATTTCAACTGTTATTAAAAATATTGCAATACATATCGCAATACAGTTCCAAATATCGCAATACAAAATTTCCAACCAATACCCAGCCCTAATCGTTATAATGGTAATGTCCTATGGACCCTGTTTCAGGGCCTGTTCCTACACAAGGATTATTCTAACTATTCCAGGGCATTTTACCAAATGTAACTTGTGAGGTGAAAAATGCAACAGACCAGGCACAGGGTTGAATCCTGGTCTGGCAGTGAGACAGGTTCAATTGCTGGTATAGCCTTGAGATGGCTCAATTGGTAGAGCACCTGACTAGCAATGCAGGGGACCCGGATGGAATCCTACACTGGTTCATCACATTCACCTTTTTTTGTTACAATATAAAAACTTAAAAAGTTCTTTGGTAGTTTTAAATTGTTAGATGGACTTGTAAATAATAGATGAAAAAAAAATGAAACAATTTTAAATTAACCCGTTAGCCTGTTTACCTGTATTTTTGTAGATCGATATAATGAAGAAGAAGAATGGAGATTACGAAAACAATTTTTTGGGGTTGCACATGTGTTCTTCTGGCATTTTTAGTAAGTACATTAATATATGATAACTTATTTACCTTATCAAGTATATATGGCGTTGTGTATATATACTGATGTTATTTTTTTTATTTAGATGAAATTTAGACTTATCACAATACAATTTATAATATTATGTACATGTACAATGCTTTTCTTTCTCTTGCTTTACCATGAAATATGTATATTCATGCAAAATTTTTACATAGGTACTGGCCAGCCAGTGGATGTTAAATTTCAGAATACTCTTCTTTTATTTATATGAAATTTTTTTTGTATTTTGTGCAAAGTCACAAGAGCCTACCTCACTTTTGATCATTTTTAGGCATCTTATTTCCTTGTGGCAGTAATTTTTCTGTTGGTTTCTGATTCTACTTATTTCTATGAAGGTTTTCTGTCATTTAACAAAATTGATACATTTACTTTCGTTGGTTTTGTATCAAAGACATGGTTATAAGTCCCCATAAATACTATAAGACTGATAAAGTTCCTAACCTCTGCCATTATTCAGTGTCCATGGTGATCATTGCTAGGCAGATGAAAATTAAGACTGAGATAAGATTAATGAACAAAAATCCATACTACACACCCTTAAAGAATAGATTTTAATGGTTTCTTAAAGCACCCCAGACATCACACAAAAATGAAATGACCATGAAAAAATAAAATGCTAAACTTTTGATTGCAAGCTTCATACATGCCAACTTTCCCAATTTAGGCGGGATCTTCCTAATTTTACCCTTTGATCCCGCTTTCACGATCGGGAAAGCAAAATTGCCCTAAAATCCCGATCTGAAAAAATTCAACTTAAAATTTATGAATTTCAGAGTTTCCCTACCGCAATATTTTGTCAATCAGGATTAGAATATCAGACTTGTTTATTGCACACAGAATAGTCTCTTTGTTTATTAACTCTTGCAGAGCACTCTCTACCATCAGCTCATAATTTAACTTCATTATATATATTTGCTTTGTGTATCTAATCTTTATACTTTCCTTTTCAATGCACCAGGTACTACGTTATTTTATGTATGGTACTAAAATATTTATTTTTTTATTTGCTTTTGGATTCCAATACTAATACTTGTTTTACATACTTGAGCAAATCCATTACTAGTATATATACATACATGAAAAGTTTATAGGAATCAGTAGTTTTTCAGTAATATTTCAATGTATCCTAAAACATGCTTTTATTCACAGGCGATTTTTATCAGATCTGGTAATATATGTATTGCTCCCACTCTTTCCTGTCACCGTTGGTATGTTTGTCTGTGAATGTACTGTGTTGGTGTATCATTTCAGCATGTATCCTATCTTTAATGCAATATCTGTGAATCTGGTTGCATTTTGATCAGTTTCGACACGTTCATTGTAGGGCTAGGCTTTATCATTTTAATCATGTTAATTAATATAGCTATATTTTCAGTTTTTAGAAATCTGCATGCCAAAAACCGTTTAGTTAGATATTTAAAATTTTTGTCATATCTCTCTTTAACAGCACCACTGTTTTATGTAAGATATTAAAAATAAATATTTATATACTGTAGACATACTTTTTTCCACATAGGATTGATTTAAGGTATGTACGTGGTCATAAATCTCCGATCATCATAATTAAAATTTCATTTAAGATAATTACAATAGCAAATTAATCCAAGAAATCCATGTAATTTCTACTTGCGGATTGATACAAAAATTTGTGATTCCACGTAATTTTGACTCAGTGGAAAAAAGTATACATATACAGTAAATGAAATTTATCCATGCATATAAGTAAGGTGATAAAGAAATTTTACCTCACTTGAAATGTTAGAGGAATTGTAAATTTTGTTCATGCATATAGCGAGTCACAGAAAAAATGCATTGCTACAGTTTGCACATTTCATGTCAGTATTATTAATGCATCTGTGTATGTCTTCAGTGTACATGGTATACATATATATATTTTCCCAAGAAAATGTCTGTTTAATACATGTACATGTTTACTTATTTATATTGAAACTGCACTATGTTTAACAAGTTCAACAGTGACTCAGAATTTTATGTTTAACATATAGTTATTCATTTTTCTTCACTTTTAAACAGGTTTCCCCTGCTGCAGCTAAAAATACTTTGGAAATCAAGGGTGAAAGGAGTGAGAAAAACATATGCCCCAGCTTGTCTGGGTGGGAGGGCCGGTCAAAGACCCTGTGTTACTGGGATGAGTCCCTATACCACTGTCTCCGTACAAGAGCTGGCTGGTATTTAGAGGTCTGCACAAAACCTATTGATGTAGAACCAGGTGATGTATTCCAGTTTTTACCAGTACTACCATGTAGTGTATTAACACACGTGATACTGTAGATTCCTTATTTTACATTAGTACTAAATATTATGTACTAAATATCACAAAATAGCCCTTGGACTTTAAATTGCAAGAACAGTAATTTGCAATTGAACAGTTGAGTTAGAGATTTTACATGGATTTTAGCACTTAAAAATAAAAGAGAGTAATTTTATTTCACAAGTAGTGCTTCTTGCAAAATTATGGTATCTAATTAATTTCTAGTGTAGATGTATGGATATAACAACTAACAGATGAAGCAATATGAAACCAAAGCTTCCCAAAACTTTGCTTTATTCAAATTTTACTGAATGACAGTGTATTATTTTTACAGGTCATTATCCTGAAATATCTGAGGAATTTGACAGACTAAACATTGTGCCATGTCCAACCGAAAGGTATCAACCAGAGGGTGCACTATCCAATCAGTTCAAAAAGGTCACATGTGAATACTCCAAGACTAAATGTAATGGATTTGGAGAGAATTATTGTACTCAGGGTACCACAACCAAGGATCTGGAGTGTAAATGTGATTATCTTCGTGGCTACAGATCTTTAGAATACCTCCTTAACAACCCCCTGAACAAATCGTGCTACAGTAAGAAAGATGTGGGTGGGGGATGTGTTATGTATGGCTGTACTAATGCAGGGGAGGAGTTAAACCCAGGTAAATTTTCATTTAGTCTATTGTTAAACTTACGCCATTTTTAAAAAATCAGTTGTTTGCCATCTCCTGACCAACTGGCTAAAAATGGCCCAAATTCAAATTTTTTTTTTTTAACTTCAAGGAAATGAAAATTTTTTTTCTTTTTATATCTGAATTTTCTCATTCTGTCAAAAGGTATGCTGAAATTCCCTGGGAAAAAAATTCCCACCTACTTATCGACCCAATTTTTTTACCCTGAGTCAGGGGAGGGCAAACAAAAATTATTTTAAAGATGGCCTTACCATCAATAATTTGAAAATCAGAAGGTAGAAACTAGTTAAGATGCACTTAATGAATCTAATATTCAAAAATTATACAGAAAACGCTCAAGAATCATGCACACAAAGCATGTAACTGATGTATATGCAAATTGAGTTTTTAGTTTTGAACTTACATATCATCTTTCATAATCTAAAATGATCAAAACAATTTCTTTTTTCAAAACTTATGATATTTATAGCATTTCTTAAATAGGATGTAAGGCTAGTTATTTTAATAATTTAAACATATTATGTGACATCTAGGCAAAGAATATGATCCATGTTTTTGTACTGGACAGGTATAAAAGTATATAATTTCCTATACATGTTTATTATGTAGATACGTGTACTAATGTTTTGCCCATTCTTTAGCGTACCAGTGTGTTAAAAAATGTGATCCAGGATTTTATCGACCACCAGATGAGTTTAACTGCATTCAGAACAAAACTACCTCTACCCGGTAAGTTTCATGTTAAACTGAGAAAACAATTTAGCTTTAGCCTTTACAAAAAAAAAAAAAAACATTTTCTTGTTTTAACTGGGAAAAAATTATTCTCGGACAAATATACTATATTGTATAAAAATGAAGAACTACAGTGTATATTTTAAAATTTCAAGATTTTTTTTTGTGAATTTAATCCTCACATTTGCACATATAATGCATGCACACAAATTTTGATTGATTATCAATTAAGGTAGAGAATTCTTGTAGAAGTACTTATATTAGTAATCACATTTTCCTTTGTAGACCTGCTACTACACCATACTCAGGTACAACCTCTCCTGCTACTGCTGAAACGGAAACTCCTACCACTATTCTGGTGCCTGTTAAATGTATGTATACCATCTACATAGTTTTGTAAGTTTGAAATTCTACACCAATGCACTGGGTGAACATTATTATATATGCAATGTAATAAGCATCTTTCAAGGTACATTGACCCAGTGATAAGAGAGATCAAAACTCTTATATGAATAATGTCTATTCTTCCTTTATAAAATTATCATATTTAAAGGTCTTTTTTGTAAAACTTTACATGGTAAGCTTTGTTGAAATTGGTTGCAATTCGATTTTAGATTACATATTTATTAGAAAATCATATGAGTTAAGGTCAGACGACACGTTACTCAATTATATGTTTTGCATACCTTGGTATTATATCAAAAATTATTCATAATTGTCATTCTCTTGTGATTTCTTAATTGTTTTCAATATGTTTTAAAAAATAAGTACACCAGAAATTGTAATATTGGCAATTCAAAAGATTACCTATATGGATTATATAGGAAATATCACCCTCTGGTATCTTGCCCAAATGCCTGGTAAGGTACCTCAATTTTTGGTGAGGAAACTTGTTTAAGTAGCAATACTTCAATGACAAATTCTTGGGAAAAATTATATATTTTTGAGGAACGTGTAGTCTGACCTTAAAGCAAAATGATATTTGAGTGAACAAAGGGACAAACCTTTAAAACAAAAATGATAAAAAATGTAGAGGTTGGATCCAGTATATATAATTGTATACACATGATACCGGTAAACATTTTTGCTACAATTTACAAAAATTTCAGCAGCTCCACCAAAGTCTCCAGTTACATCCACTGTTGAGAAATGGAAGATCGCTGGCTACGTCACCCTGGCTGTTGTTGCTCTTGTCATTATTACCCTGGGTAAGAGTAAATTCAGTAAAATGATAGCAGTTCCTACATATAGCTGTGATCATGTTGTTTAGATGTACATCTAGTATAAACTTATGTGTCGGTATTATATAGGTAATTCATGTACATGTATTGATATTTGTTACTTTTTTGTTTGTTTTGTTTTTTCTTTTTTTTTTCTTTAAAATAGTTCAAATATTGTCTGAATTTTTTCCATGTCTGTAAAATAATTTTGAATATTTTGATGTATTAATCATCAGTAAAACTGATGAAACCACACAAGTTTTTGATAAAATTCTGGTATGCATTGCATTTGTCACATGAAAATCTTTTCTTACTTTCAGTGGTGTATTTCTTTCTGGAGAAATGTAAGTACTACATGCACATCATAAATCAGTTTCTGGAGATTTTCAATTAATTATATTTATTTATTGGTTATTACTCTAATTCATAACTATGGAAGTGTATTTAGTATTCTTATATACTAGTTGCCAGACAAATGAATGGCAGTTGTAGTCTTATTAGTTACTGATAAGTACACTTTTAGCTGATCTATAAATTTGTTCAGCATCTTTATATTTTGTGAATTTCTGTCAAAGTGGTCAAAAATATTTTATTCATAGTTTTTTAACTTTACAAGATGGAGAGTTTCATATTTTGCAAGCATACCCATAAGGCCAGTGTGTTGATCAAGATCTGTACAGCAACTTTTCTTAATTTGCAGCCAATTTTTACTAATTTACATATTAATAGATAAGAAGTTACACTGCTGCGAAGAAGTAAATCATGCCCATGTCTTTTGGGCTTGGGTAACATGATATGGAGAAATCACTGTAGCCTTGTATACATGACTGAGCTTCCTCAAGTAGTCAATTTTTTCTTGAATAATCACATTTCTAGTCATGAACTTCAACAGTGTGTACTTGTACACTGTATATAGAGTGAAAAGGTACATAACTCCCTGTCAAATGGCTAGTTCTTTAAAAACCTTAGATTAGACAGAAAACCAGCAACCCCTCTAATCAATCCTTGAGGTCTGATTTGGCAGGCGGTCAGTTTAGAAAAGTTTCACGTACTGTATAATTCTTTTAACTTTCAGTTTTTAAAATCCATATGAAACAACCTTCCATCATTACACCCAGCTTCAAGGATGATGTGACACTAGAGGCATATGTTCCAGGATTCTCCTGGTTTAACATTGAATTTCAGTGGAGTCGGATAAAGGGTGAGGATATAAACCATGAAGAAGAGGAAATTCAGACTGATGGAGAACAGAGCCACTTCCTTATAAGGACAGAGGGCTGTACCTCTAGTCTTACGATAAGTCAAGTAACTGTACAACTGGAGGCTGAATATGTCTGTAGAGCTAACTTAAAATGCTGGTCAAGAATCGCTGATAAGACCTCAACAACTCTGTATGTAAAAGGAGGTTAGTTCTGTTTTCATATTTCATATGTAGACATACCTTTTTTTCCATGTGGGATTAATTCTTGCTATGTACCTGGTCACAAATTTGTCACAGTGAACTTAGAGTGCATTTTAGAAATACAATGGAACTCTTAGAAACCCACATAATTTCATACCTGCAGATTAAACAGATATTGTGATTCTGCGGAATTATGACCCCGTGGAAAAACGTATGTTTACAGTAAATTATTATCAGTTGCATGCAAATAGTTTGCACATTTAGCAGTGTCAGCCATATCGTACATGCATATAAAACTGCATGATGTTAGCCACAGGTGCATCATGGCTTTGGGATGGAAAGTAATTTTTCTGTAGAGTTAGAGTTCTTGTTACAAGTAAATACAGTGGAACCTGTATAATTTTACATGCAATGGGACAGCAATTTTGTGCATTAATTGTTATACTTACAAATTATGGAAAGTAAAAATCTCCTTGAACAACTTACAAATATTTAAGTTTCATCATTTATTGAGTATACATTTATGATTTCCCGTTAAATTTAACTACATGTATGTAAATTAAATTATGAAGAAAATTGCAAACTCAACATTCTCAGATATAGGAATGCAGAATAGGTCTTGTGGGATCAATTATCTAGCCTCCTGCAATAAGACTAGAATCTAAATTGCCTCTAAATTATCGGTCATATTAAAGGATCAGTATTTATAGCCACTTCCTGCAAACTCTGTTTTCTCTTTTGAACTTTCATTATGGTAAATTGACGTAAAAAGATTTTTTTTCTAGTTTTTAATTTTATTTTTCAAGGAATTATTGTAATTGTGTATAGACTTCCAGCAGTTAATTTCAAAATTGCACATTAATTCAATGTACCCTTGTTAATGAGTTTCATGTTACAGTAATAATTAATATAAGAAATGACAAGTACTTCCAGTTTTTTCTTAATCAATTAAACAAAAAAAAAAAATATAAACAAATATGTGTTAATATACAACACAGTCATTTTGAAAATGCCAAAGATAATAGTTGTGGTACTAATCAACAGGCCAGTTTTACACACCTCAGCCATCACCACTGCCAAGTCCTCCTGCAGACAAAAAACAAGAAGACAAAAAATTTCCAAATGTAAATGGATTATGTAAGTCAACTATGAATTTTTTTCCAGTGAAAGTTTCTTTATCAACAATCAGAGTACACTTTAAATCTTTGAAATCTATTGGACCCCCTTTCTGGTTCCACATGGCCATAAACTTTATCCTGCAAGGAATTTTAAAAAAATGTCGCCATGTCGTAATGAATGCATTTTCAAATAGATTTCTTGTATTTTCTAGCTTTTAAAAAAATTTAATTGCCAACCATATATGAATGTGCATATGACATTGTATAAAATTGGGGCATGTATAAAAGCAAATGGTCACTGCATGAATTACCATACATTTGAAATTGGTTGATTAATGCATGAAATGATGCACATTTGATTGTGTAGTTTATTACAGTATTTTGAAATGATACATTTTAAAAAAAAAATTGCTTACTTGAATCTGTTGCCGCAATTATAAGAAATTTTAAATCTAACTCTCAAGAGTTCAAAAAAAACTTTCCTTTAATTAATTGAACTGTTTGTTAATTCAGATGCTCCAAAAGCCACCATGGACACTGATGATGAACATGACAACAAACCAATAATTGCAGGTAATTATCATGCATGCATGTTTTATGATGAGTGGTGTTGTAGGCTCCTAATTCTCCTTTCAAGGGATAAAAGAGTGATATACTAGTATGCTAGCACTTTAACTTGATGATAAATACATTATGTCTATGAAGTTCCATACCTACAGGAAGTCCAAATGTTATTTGAATAAATAAAAATTTTTTTAAAAATACCTGATTTACACCAAATGTTGATAGAAATGCATACTCGGGCAACAGGTAATGTTAGTTACGCATGTGTAATCAAAACCCACAACAAGTCTTCATTACTTAATGACTGTGTAACATATATCAATCACAATCAGTAGTCTGGACTATTTTCAAATGAACAAAATGGTTTAATATTCAGATCGTATTCACTGTTTCTTGAATTCACAGATTTAGGTACACCTGTAGTTAATATTAACACCGTGAGTTATTTTCCCCCATAACAGTATTATATGATCAATCATATGCTTATCTATATAAGTCTATATTTTGTTTATAGATTACTAGTAAATTATATACTTTATTTATATCCACAGGAACATATATCAAAGAAATTCATATACACAAAGGAAAAAACTTTGCCATAGGTGATAAAAGTACTCTGGTTGTTACATATGATGCCAAGAATAAGGTACATTCACATCTCAAAAATCCTTTGAAATATATAATTGTTCCTTGTATTAAACATGCATGTATATATTGATCAATGCATGTTTATCTTTAATGAGGTCTCTCAAAGTATGTGCAACATATTTTCTTTTTTAATTTATATTTAATTTCTTAAGACTTTGAGTGCACACCCTTTTTAGCTCACCTCAATGAAGTTGGGGAGAGCTTATGTAATACCCTGGGTGTTGGCATCCAAGGTTAAAGTTTTTGGAGCAGATTTTTTTTTTCAGGTACTTCTATGCCCTATATTAATCAGAGATGCATGGACAATGCTTCTAATATGTTTCATTGTACCAGTGAAGGTTTCAAATGCTGCATTTTCAGCTAAAGAATGACCAGGTTAATGTTTTTGGAGCGGATCTCATTTCCAAGTAACTATAAGCTCTATGTTGACCAAAATTGCATGGATGATACATCTAAGATTGCACACTACCAGGCTTGCTTCGGATGCTGGATCTGACCTACATTTTCTGGATGAGTAGCCAGGTTAAAGTTTTTGGAGCAGGTTCATTCTAAAGTAACTATGAGCCCTATGTTGACCAAACTTGCATGGATGATGTATGCAGGTAGGTTAAGGCTTCCCGTAGAATATCACAGTGCACTCTGTGCCTTCACATCTCTGAACTATCAAAATATGACGTCATAATGGAAAATGACGTCAAGTCACTGCAAACTTGAGTTGTTATGACGGGGAGAGTGTCATGAACTTTACACTTTATTTGAAACTGCATGTAAAATGCTAGGTAGCTATTGCAAAATTCACGGGTCGTTAAAGGTTTTTTAAGTCGTATGTGTCAGAATATTTTAAAAATACACCGCTTACCTACCTTTGATTGAAATTCAGCATGTTCAAAACGCTTATGAAAAATATACTTTTGAAATGTACTCTTTTTTATACCCGTGGTTGGAGGTAGAACTTATTTAGTGTGTATAAAAAGGTCTGGCGCAGGTGATTAATGAGGATTAATCTGAGAATTTTTGTGGAAATCTTTAAGAAGAGGTTGTTCTCTAAGTGAATCTTGCTTGGGAAAAATGTGTGTTGGCTTTATTTTAATACAGATTACGATATTGTGTGGAAAATAACCTCAAATTTGTAGGTAAGTTGAATTTCTCAGGAAATATTTTGTATTTAAGTAATACTATGACTTTTCCCAAGCACGTTTCGGATACACAAGGATACGATGAGTTTATTTACATAACAAAATGTTAAAAATTATTGTGTTAATCAGCTGCGCCGAAGCGATTTATATGAAACACTTCAAAAAATTATAAATGACCGTCACGTGATCAGCAAAGTCATGTGATATCATAACAAATATGTTGATACATAGCCGAGGAAACCCACTATATAAATTGGAAGTACTTAAGTTCAATACTTTTTAATTAAAATTAAAACCGACCTCGCAATGACATATTATGTTTTGAGCGCATTTTAAAGCTTCGGGAAGCCTTAACATAGCTGTGTATCTAAGGATGCACACTACTGGACTTGCTTCGGATGCTGGATCTGACCTTGGGAGTAGTTCATTTTATAGTAACTATTTGCCTTACCTGGACCAAACTTGCATGGATGATACATCTAAGGATGCACACTACTGGACTTGCTTGAGATGCTGAATTCGACTAACATTTTCCAGAAGAGCAACCAGGTCAAAGTTTTTGGAGCAGTTTCTTTCTAAAGTGACTATAATCCATGCTAACCAACTTTGCACAGAAGGTAATTTACTGATACACTACCAGGGTTGCTTTGGATGCGGGATTTTACCAGATGAGTTAACAAGTTAAAGTTTTTGGAGCAGGTCCATGACCAAGAAACAATAAGGCCTAACTGGACCAAACTTGCATGGATGATGCGTCAAGGAATGCACACTGCCAGAGTTACTTCAATGCTGGATTTGACCTACATTTTCCAGATGAGTGACCTGGTCAAAGCTTTTTGAGCAGGTCCATTACCAAAAAACTATAAGACCTATTTTGAAGAAACTTGCATGGATGATGCATCAAGGGATGAACACTCTCAAACTTGCTTCAGATTTGACTTACCGGTACATTTTCTGGATGAGTGACTACTTCAAAGTTTTCAGATAAGTCCATTCCCAGGTAACTGCAAGCCCTATCAAACCAAAATTGCATATATGTTGCATCTAGTGATGCATTCTACTAGATTATTAGTTTAGTATGGGACTTTGCCTTACTTGAAGACAACATTTGTTAAGGTGAGCTCTGTTATCTCTGATTTCCTATGTTTTGTTTTAAATAATGAGGTGAAGTGTCGACTATTTTTGACTATTTTGTAATTTCTTCTATACAAGAAGTACAATTGTGTACATTTTGTGAGATTTTTCAAAATTAAAGTATTATTTGGGCAGATATACCGGTATTTATACATGTAATGTGTCATGACTGCATATAGCACTTCTAATAGGGGACAAAACTCAAGAAGCTTCAGATATATTTTGGAGTATTTCTACATACATGTAACATCATATCCTTAGCTATGAATCATCATTTCAAAAATATTTGTAGAAAAAGAAGAAATCAAAGAGAAAAAAGAAAAAGGTATGTATAATTACTTGTAATTTAGTATCACATTAAGTAATCTTTAATTTATTTACTTGATTAAGAACTATTGGAACAAAATTTTACTGTTTTAAAAGCAGTTTAGCTATAAAGTTTGTAACGAGATGGATGATGGATTTTTAGGAGGAAGAGTCTGATGATGATTCGTCTTGTAGCAGTGACACACCTCTTGTTGAACCAACTGTAAGCTATACTCATAATTATATCTTCAGAAAACTAAAATAGCAGTAATTTGTCAATCCATGTTGCTTAATGGCATCACAATTGTTATCAAAATGATCGAGTTATATATTTTACCCCATTGTTTGGTTAGGACACAAAATTCAATTACCCAGGTACAACTGTACCTATATACTTAACCTACTTTTTTCCATGGGGTCAGATTTCCGTGGAAGTACAATTTCTGTTCAATTCACTGGTAGAAAATTGCACAGATTTCTTGGATTGCCATTATATGCCTTAAATGTGCTTTTAGTATGCAGGGACAAATTTCCATGGAAAATATGATCGCGTACATAGTGTAAATTAATATCACAAGGAAAAAAGTGCTTCTACAGAAGTTGTTTTAAAATCTATATACAGTCAAACCTCATTATCTTGAACTCAGTGGGACCGAGAAAAAAATTTGAGATATCCGAGGAATCAAGATATTGAGTGTAAAATACTTAAGAATAAGTGGTTGGGACTTCCAAATCACTTCGAAATATCCATGGTATTTGAGATGTATATGATCAATATACCAAAGTTTAACTGCATATTCTTTAAAGATTTTTTTTCATTGCCATATCATGATGCCATACTTTACTAGGCATATGATTGGCCAGATCATACTTGTGCTCTATCCTGCAAATTATATAAAATGATGAGTATGGGGCATAAATGTTTTTATATTATACTACAGTAAACTCATCCAGGTGAAGCGTTGAACAATATTCTGTGCATCCAGGAAGGTGTTCTGAGATGTGAAGTAATTAGGAGAACTTGACATGTATCTATATTTTTCAGAAACCTGTCTCAAATCTTCAAAGGGAGTTAAAAAATTTAGATTTGTTAGCACAGAAGTCACAATACAAGCTGAAAGTTTTGGATGTACCAGGAGATGGACATTGTTTATACCATGCTTTCAGCCAGAGTGATGACATGCATGGGCTGCCAGATGATCCAACAGTACTCCGGAGAAAGCTTGTCAAATATCTGGAATCCAATCCAAACACTCCTGATGGAGTACCATACAAGGATTTCCTTTGTCTTCCATTAGATCCCGATCATGGTGTTCTTCAACCTGAAGACATGGCAATAGAGAGGGTGCAAGATCAAGAAGATCAGAAGGAACTTAGATGGCAGAGATTCCTTAAAAAGATACAAGATGGGGAGTGGGGAGGGAGTTTGGAGATCATGGGACTAGCCCAGCTCTTCAATGTCCCAGTCACTGTGCTTTCTGTGGGAATGAATGGCTTTAGACTTAATGAAATTTCCTTTAATCATACCAATGAAACATCACCAAATCCAGTTGTTTATATTGGGCATTTGAAAGTACGTGGAAAAGGAGTACATTTTGTTTCCTTCAGACCTCTTCAAGAAAAAGCCATTGAACAACCAAGTAAGGCAATTCTTGACTTGATTAGCATAATTAAGTTTAATTATTTTTTCTTGAAAGACCAGTTGGGTTACCTCTGATTATTTTTACTAGTCCTGACTATAAAACCACTACCCCTGCATGACTTTACTTCTTATAACCTACTAATTTTGATGAGTAGCTTTTGTTTCCCTTTATTTTTCACATTATAACATTGATGAAGTATAATGTACGTCAAAATCAATAAGCTATTGTAACTTTTAACAGACTGTTGATAAATTGCAGCAATTTGAGTTAATTGGGACATGCTAATATATAATATTATAAGCATTAAAGAACATTCCAACAAACTTTAATAAAATTAGATTATTCTAATTATTTAGGAATTATTTAGAGAGATTGACACTGCACAAACAAAGCTTGTTTTATGAGCACACCTTTTGACCATGACTACACCCATGGCTAAAAATAGCAATTTTGTCATCCTTTACATTGCGATTATTTGGTGTTTACAATGGACAAATAAGAATTTTTATACCCCACACAACAAGTTGCGTGTCTGAGGTATAATGTTTTTGACCCATCAGTCAGTCAGTGTGTCAGTCAGTCAGTCCGTCAGTCCTGTTTTTTTGTAAGAGCAACTCCTCAATAACCGTTGCACAGAATTTCGTCAAACTTTGCAGATATTTAGGACACAATGTGTAGATGTGCAAATTACCAGGAAATTCCGATTCCTTATTTTTCTGGGAATTTCGGCACTTTTCAACTTAGATTTTTGGCCATATCTTGAATATAGAGATGAACAGTTTGTTAGTGCAACTCCTCTTAAACCGCTGCACAGAATTTGATTAAACTTTGCAGATATTTAGTGTACACAGTGTGTAGATGTGCAAATTACCAGGAAATTCCGATTCCATTATTTTTGCCATAAGAGTTTTGCCTATAATTGAAGAAACTTTCCAGCTTGGTAATAAAGAAATCCACTGGAATCAGCTTTTGTAATGAAAGGAGATGGGCGAACATAGCGTGCAGAAAGCCTATAGCTTCAGATATATAAAAATCATGTTCAGTTTGTGAATTTAGTATTTAGAGTAAAGTTCTCATTATTGAAATTTATGAAATTATGATAAACAAAACTCTTCTGAGGAAAATTTTCTCGGCAAATTTTATTCTTTTATTAAAAAAATTAATGTGGTATTCGTGGGATTCGAACCCTAGCAATAAAAATCCTGAGTATTATTTTCTTTCGAGACTAGCACACTAACCACTAGACTACACAAGTCCTGATGAATAATGGCATTTAAATCATGTTTGTGATATGACCCTTGACTTAATGGACTTCAAGTATTTCTCAAAAAGATGCGAATGTTATGTCATAAAAGTATATCTTTATGGTATAGTGGGTCATTGCTCCATAATTTTGGTAACCCAAAAATGTTTATTTTTATGCAAACTTTGAGGATTAACTTTCAAAAAGGTGGAGTGAAGACCCACTCATATCGAAAAATAGTATTATAGTATGAGAAAATGACTCTTTTTGCCTGCTTTTGTGTGTGTCTAATATTTCACAGGTGAATAATTTCAATCTTTGAGGGATTTTTGCAAATTATAGAGATTTTACATAAAGTTTATTTTAATGTTAGGCGAAATATCAAGGAAAATTTTGATATAATTGAAATTAAATTTTTCATCTTCATGTTTGTCACACTATAGGCTTATCACTCATCATGTTCACCCATCTCCTTTTATGTGAAATATTTTATGACCTCAAAAGACCCCAATTGATTCTGAGATCAAGATATTAATGATTTAACACACACATACAAAATCTTGGATAGTTCTCACCCCACCCCCCACCCCCCCACCCCACCCCTCAAATTGGTGCTGTGCCTTAAATAATTTCATAAGTACAGTATATAAACAAATTCATATGACTACATCATAATTTTGTTTCCATCAATTATTTAAATGTGTAAATTGTCATGTTTTGGACATGGACTTACACTCATTAACAAACTGAAATCACTGAGGAAATTAAATAACAGTTTGTCAGCATAACTCCTGCACTGAATTTCCTGAAACTTAGTAGGTATTTCAGACATAATGTATAGATTTGTATATTACCAAGAAATTTTGATTCCATTATTTATCTAGAAACTTCAATCCAATTAAATTTGTAACATACAAAGATTTGAATGTCCTTATATGCAAGAAGTTTTGATGTGATGATTTTTTGCAAGTAATGCCCCTTTTTGAATTATACTGTGTGTTTAAAATGCACTGTGCCATTCATTACATGTTGCATTGTCAAGTTTTAGGGGAGCATGGGGTATGTGAGCTTGCTCACTTTTTCTTTCATTTTTAAATGTTTTTGAAATGTTTTCCTGTAAAACTGAAATACAGGTTTACATTTATTTTACCTTCATGATCAGTTGATCTAGTTCACCTACATTTTACATGACCAGACCACTCATGTAGTACCAAGTAGTCTGTGTTGGTTGTTGGTTGGACGTGCCTTATTAGTGTCAAACCCTTATGTGCAATGTCTTTCTTTTGTACTCTGTTCATGAAAAACCTTTCCACAGCTAGGGTATTTACAGTGTATATGATTGTAATTTAGACTTCTTCTTTTTGACAAACAAAATATTGAAAATGATTGGTTAAGTTTTAGTTGATATTCGGTTCATGCATGTAGTTGGCTCAAATAGTTGACCACAAATAGATATTCATGATTAATTAAACACTGTGGGGCCTTTTTCATTTCTTAGTTTTCTAGTTACTGGAAAGTATACTGAATGTATCAAGATATCTCATTTAACTTTCTATTATCAGCAAGTATGCAGCATGGAGAGCTACACAGGAAAGCTATAGACAGCAGTTATCCCTACAAAGATGGGAAGGTGATTGTTGACCACGAACTAGACAAACGGATAGGCTGCATAGAAATCACAGCTAAAAGAAGGAGCAACGGCACAGGGTTCAGGGTCGGCAGCAAATACGTCATGACCGCATTCCATGTCATGGAGGATGTTCTAGGTAAAAGCTTATACTTCTAAACAATCCTCTCGCTCTCTCTCTTTTTTTTTGTTGTTGTACTTGATTTGTTTGTTGCATATTTTATTTCATGGATTTAGAAATACACATAATCTTGCAATGGTTCAATGATTGAAAAACATGTTCTTTTCATTCAAGTTCCATTTTGGAAGCAAGTTTATAGCAGACTGAAGGATGAAGAAAGACGTCCATTGAGGTGGACAGCAGAGAATGTACCAGTGGATGGCAGGTGGAATCTCTCTATCCTCATAACATCACTAGACCCTAGCATACAAGGTAGGAATTAATCGTCTAATCTTCCCGAGAGTTATCATTTTTTTTTTTTTTTTTTTTTAATAAAAGTAAGTCTTAAATTTTTATGTCTGTCAGCCATTTCCAAACTCTTTTTATTCATATTTATTTTTAGCCACTATAAAATGCTTTATTATCTTTGAAAATTAATTATGTAAAAGATATTGGCCGAGCACTTCTCCATTCCTTTAAAACAATGAAGCCAATTAAAGCCCAAAAGGAGCTTGCTTTTGAGGAATGGATAGAAACATGTACACAAGGATATTGTTGTGCTTAAAATCTATAAACTTCTTTTAACCCGTAACTAATATGCACTATAATATCTGAGGAAGATTTGTAAGCTTTGCGGTTAATATGTATAAAGCAACTATTGTTTTATGAAGATTTTTGTCCTGGATGTATTTATGTGATTTATACAAGGTATGGTTTTGTTTGTGGCAGATGAACATTATATTTTTAAAATTTTTTTTAGGCACGCTGATAAAAATAGCAGATGAAATGATTACAAAGTCTTCTTTAATCAAATTTGGATTTGTGGATGGGAAATCAGATACAAAAAGCGTTCTAGGGTTCTCTTATGATGTAGCTTTTGTATCCCAAAAACATGACGTTGTGATCTTAGAACTGAATGAAGATACAAATCTCCCACCCCCTCTTATACTGAAGGATACAAACATTCCTGGAGTGAAACTCCATGTGATTGGTCATCCGAAAGGAATCGAACTTCAACATGACCCAGGATGTAAAATCATCGAGGATCAGGCAGAATTAACTGAACTAGTAAACAAGGGCATTGATTTCTTCACAGGTCTTGGTTATAAAATTGACCAAGTGAAGGAAGACTACGCCCCTTGTGTCCTTTCCTCGGATCACATTTTATTCCACTGCTCTGAGAGCACTGCTCATGGGGCTTCCGGTTCTCCACTCATTGTCATCAAAGAAAAGCCTCAAGTCACAGGAATGCTTCTGAAAGGGCATCCCCATCTTTACTACAACTACAGCAGTGGTAAGGAGGATCATCCGGAGCTGCTGGTGGAATCCGGAATCTCCATGGAAAAAGTCCATTCCCTCCTTATAGAACATTCTCTAATTCAGCTAGCAGAGGAGTTGTTTTCTCAAAATTTATGAAAAAGAATGGCATTCTAGAAGTTGTGTTGAGCTGTGATTCTTTCTAATTTTTTTTTTCCTTTTTTTTTTTTTTGAACGAAACTTTTTTTTTCTTGCATTTGATGCTAGCAACTTTTATGTTACCACAAGAAAATTTACACTCACAGATGGGGCAATTATTCATCATACATTCACTCCTGGCATTTCAAATGCTGCATTATTTTCTAAATTGTTGGCTTTCAAATGGAAGATGACTTCTAATTTAACAAATTGAACTTTAATTCCTAAGGGACTCAGAATTCAATCAACTCACAACAAAATATTTTTTATTATAGAAATAAATTTCTTCAAAATGAAAAGTAAATGTTTTAAATTTAAAAGTAAAACATTAATTTTTTAGCTTATTGTTTTTTATTTAAACAAAGTGATTGTCAGGAACTCTCCTTGGACATTTGAACTTCTCCAATTTTACAAGTAAATTAGCATGATCACATTGTACATGTGCTTTTGATTTTCAAATTCTACTGAGTCTTATGGAGATGTTATAATTAAGGCGAATTAATTATTTTACCTCAATTATCTTCTGACAGGTAATAATGATGCTCAGTTGAAGTCATTTTGATCTCCTATTTTACTGCGTATCTGCAGCAGTGTAGGCTATTTTGTAACAGCAAATACTGTAAATTAATTAATATACTTATTTTAGCTATTATTGTAATTATAATTAGCACCTTTGCACTGCTTCTTACCCACTTATTGAGTACATGTTGATAATTACCAGGGTATATGATTAAAACAGATATGTATAGAAGCATGGGTCCAGTGCACTAATTTATGATTATGCTATTTACAGTTGAACTTCAGTATCTCGAACACTGATATCTTGAATAATCATGTATATGTCAAAATGATTTGGAAATCCCAACCCCTTATTCTGTAGGTATTTTACCCTGGATATCTTGAATTCTTGGATATTTTAAAGTTTTTTCTTGGTCCCATTGAGTTGGAGATAATAAGGTTTGTCTGTAGTTGATGAGGAAGATCATGCTTAGTTTTAGGTGCATTTATTTATGTACATTTTCAGTAGTCATGCCTAATTTTTGGACATGATAGTGTGAATTGCAGTAAATATGACAATATATTAGCCATTTCTTCTTTTTTGAAGGGGTTCAGTGCTGATGTAAGAGAACGCAGTAATTAAACATGTTAGTGTTGTTTTTAATTAGAAAACTTATGGAAGTAAGACTTAATTATTTTTTTTTCTGTTTGAGGCAGCAGATTTTGTGCTAAGCCAGTATATGAATATGTTTTGGAAACAAAACATGTAACTACATTTAAGTGCACTTACATGCATGCATACATTCAAAATTATGCATGGCAAGAAGATGGAGGTGAAAAATCATGGTGGTATTTGTTCCCATTGTCCTCATAAATTTCACTCTGAGATAATTTGTTATTGTGAGGAATAAATGTTAAATATTTTAGATAAATTTGCTCATTTAATATTGTGATTGAATTGTTACTGTATAGATGCTGTTCTGTTTAAAAGGTTGACAATTTTATCAATATATTTATCTGCTTTAAGTTTGTTCAATGTAATATTTTGTAATATAAAAAAAATACATATAATTCTTCCAAGTTGAATATGAATACATTTTTGATATTTGGTCAAACCAAGATATTTTATATCTAAATGATTTTTATACAATCTTCTTTTTACTCCTATTGGTGTATATGACTACATGTTTATGAGCAGCACACGATATAATAATGTAACGTGCCAAAACAAATTATTGTGCGCAGAACAAAAGTAATAAAAGGTAGCCATTTTTATGTCCCAACATATATTTATGTTGGTACTTTTTCTGTGCCTAATTCATACTAATTGCTCAGTCATAGTCTTAAAATTCAGTGACGATCTCATGTTCAAGCACTGAATTAGAGAAATAAATCCACGAGAAGGAAAAAAACATGAGTCGCTGTTTATATACATGTAACTTTAATTCCTTTTCCTTTCTGTGAGATCTTTTTAAGTCATTAAGTTTGTATTGATTATTTCCAAGATCTCCTATTGCTTATTCTTATATCAAAATACATATAATCCATACATGTATGTTTCTTGTTCTTTGATATCATAATTATATCAGCTAGCTTACATATTTACTGTACTTATAGATCATTCTCTTTAGATCTCTTTCTATATACTGGTATATGTATGTATCTACCTCCTCTGAAATCAACATAGTTACATGTTACTTGTTTTGTACGTACATGGTAATTTATGAAAGTACAGGTACATGTATTCATCATTTCATCTGTTGAAGATTGCAATGTATGGTAGTTATAATACACATATCGTTTATGTCAGAATGAAATGTTTTTGATAGAAGTTGAAAGATTTTATATATTTAATACAATTTTATCCATATCATCCATATTCTTGTTTTGTGTGTAGAATTATAACTAGGAGTTCAGCTCAAGGGATACAAGTTAAATATCTTCAAGATTACCTTAACTTTTGATCAGTCTTCTGCAATTGCTTTAGCCAGATATGGCACATATAAGTAAGTCTCATAAATTGTGTAGTGTTTCAACCTGAACTGATAGTAATAAAGGCTCTTCTGGATCCATATGAATTTTCAGTTCAGCACAATGAAGCTTTCTTCATCTCTCCTGGTCCAAAGCCTCAGCATTTGACCTTGTCTGTCAGCATCTTTACATTTTCATCTTCTTTTCAGAAATAATGAGCCAATTTCAATCAAACTTGGCACAAAGTATCCTTGGGTAAAGGGGATTTAAGTTTTTCCAAATGAAGGGCCACACCCCTTTCAAGGGGAGACAATTAAGAAACAGCAAATTTAGCATGGGGTAAGTTAATATAAAAATTTTCTTCTCAAGAAGCACTGGGCCAGCAAAGATGAAGCTTACGTGAATAAAATTTTGACATGGTGTATATTCAAGTTTATTCAAACCATGGCTCCCAGGGTTAGGGTGGGGCCGATATAGGGGATCAAAATTTTACATAGGAATGTATAGGAAAAAAATCTTTAAAAAGTTTCATCTCGGGAACCACCGAGTCAGAAGAGTTGAAACTGAAGTGAAGGCTTCATTAAATAATGTAGATTCATGTTTGTTCAAATCATAACCTCCAGGGGTAGGCTGGTGCCGCAATGGGCAATCAAAGTTTTATATATTATAAATATATAAAAAATATAAAAAAATCTTTTAAAAACTTTTTGTGAAGAAACAGCAAAGGCATGAAAAGTCATACTGATATGGAAACATTTAGTTTAGCCCACAAAAGATCAAAGTTTTACAAAGGAATATATAGTGTAACTCAGGTGAGTGTTGTGGCCCATTGACCTCTCATATGTAAGTTTTGGTATAGCTTATTAAAAGTGTGTGGTCATACCACAGCCTTTAGATTGATTCTGGAATTGATTTTAGCATATCTTGGGAAGTATGCAGAATTTCAGAATTAACTTTGTGTTAAAGTTGACTGTATATAATATGAATATAAATATGGGAAAAAGTATGATTTATCATTTGGTTTATCAGTATTACATTGCCAAAACTGGGTACCCTACCTGAGAAGTTCCATACCTTTACTTTTCTTGATACCCTGTTTCTCTGTCGGATTAAAGCAATTTAAAGGCCTCTGAGTCATACTGGCCATGGTCCTGTTGACAGTGTGTTCAGTATGGTTAAGCTTTTCAGTTGCTCTCTAGTGCCCATGATATATATATAGTCAAGAAAAGCCATGTATATATTACCTGGCATAGATCTCAATATCATATTAATGGTGTACTTGGTAGAGTACAGTAAAGATTATACAGTGCATATAATAGCACACGGTTTCTAGGCTTACGGTTTATTTTATGCAGTAAGCTAAAGTTAGCAGAATACAATTAAATATTTTACTTATACACACATGGATTTAAATTTAAACTTTGTAAATATTTGTATCAATCGTATACATTGAAAAGTGAAGTAAATCCCTCCTGTTCCTTAACTGCCCAAGGGAGAGAAACACTGACCTAACAAGCATTCTGAGAGTATTGCATTAGCAATACTAGTCCCCTACCGGCAAGTGTAATCTGGTTCCCGTTAAAAATTGAAAATGCCATAATTCCGTCAAAAATCAATGAAGCGGGACGAAATGCAAACTTGATCTATAACTAATCAAGGTAAAGTCACATACCAAAAATCAGCTCAATATCTGAAAACGTTTAGAAGAAAATTGCGGAAAACCCCTAGAAATTGAAAAGGCTGTAATTCCGTCAAAAATCAATGAAGCGGAACGAAATGCAAACTTGATCTGTAACTCATCAAGATACACTTACATACCAAAAATCAGCTCAATATCTGCAAGCGTTTAGAAGAAAAGTGCGGAAAACCAAGTGGGACAGACTGACAGACAGACAGAGGGACAGACGGACAGACAGACAGACAGACGGACAGACTCAGAGGAAACCTATAGTCCCCTCCGGTTTCACCGGTAGGGGACTAATAAACATTCTAATACAAAGATCTATAGTGACAATTTTTAAACACTTTGTTTTTATACATGGGAAATAATGGTTGAAACATTGCAGAAAAAATATCTTCCATAACCATTGAAAGCTATAAATGAGTTTTCCTGGCTTGAAAAAATTGAATATCACATCTGAAAGACCACTTTATTTCTTCTTGGATTCATTTTCTAATTTTTCTTGCTTTTTAGTTATTCCTTGATATAAACTTATCAAGGTATATCCAACTTTACTACACAACAGTTTAATATTCTCATTGTCCATTCTATTATATTCCTTAGGGTCTTCATATAAAAGCCGAAGAGGTGGATGTTTAATTCCAAAGTAGCTGTACAGGGACTGTATATAAAATACTGAAAGAAAAAAAGATAAATGTTTATACATCTCAATTTTCGAACCTTGTGTACAATATAATAACACAAAATAGATACATGTTTTTACATTATTAAAAAGCAAACCTATGATGGAGGAACAATGCTGACTGAATTGTTTGTGATTAACCTACAAATTTTTATCTTTTACTTCGGACAATAAACACACAATAGAGGATTGTAAATTTTAACTATTCAGCAGATAAAAGGTTCTATCTTGACACACTTACTTGTTCCTAGGAGGTAAAATGAAAGTGCAAATGGAACTCTGTTTTCCACAATCCGCACCAGAAATGTCTTTGTGAAAGGTGTCACAAAACACCCCATGGCTGTGCAAGATAATACAGCTGAGTGAAGATTGATCTTTTTCTTCTTGCCTTCAGTCCCATCTATTTGGTTTTCACTAGTGTCCTGTCCCTTTGTTTGTGCTACAGTGGCTGCTGCATTAATGTCTGAGCCATTATGGGACTGATCATTTGTTACATTTCTTTGACCACCCTGAGTTTTAAGTTGTGGTGCACAAACAGCACTCTTGATAAACAAATTGTAGAATATCCTCATTACTAAGTTACATCTGAAATTATAAGATTTAAATATATAAATGTGGCTGTTTTTAATAGAGTCTGTGTGTCAAAATAGGTCCTTAGCGCCCCCCCCCCCCCAAAAAAAATCCATACTGTCAGATTACTGATAGACCTTTACAACAGGAACCAACAGAACAATAACTTGCAGAAATTAGTATATTTAATATGTCGTCATATTGATATATGAAAGTACAAAAAACTATAGAATTACGTTTTGTCCAATGGAATAGAGTTAAACAAGTGAATTATGTGTTGGCAAAATACTTTCAGGTGAACATTGTACATGTAGCTCCACAGAAACACATATGTCGTATTCTTTTGAAGGCAGAGATCTCAGCTGAGCCAAGGCTAAACCCTGACTACTTCTCTGAAGAGAATAACCATATCTCAGAGTCTCTGCTCTGCAGACTGAGATCCAAAGAGTGAACAACATCAGAGTTACTTACATTTAATAACGTATTTTCTGCATTCATCTCGTGGAAATAAATTAGCAATAAGCAATTTGTTATCATCATCGTCAACTATTCATCTTGCTCAGTTCAGTTTCAAGTTTACTGTGTAAGTCACATTTCATTTCGAATTTCCTTAAAGTTACGCATTCCGAACCCGATCCATTTAATACAACGTGTGATGCAAGAAATACAAAAAGGTAACGTTGCACACTCATATTTTAATCTGTTATGATACTTTAACACGACAAAATATTTTCCCATTAGTTTATTGCATTTTATTTCTTGTAGAATAAACGACTATCTGACAACCTGTTAAGCAGTAGTATAACAAAACGTTTTAATTCGAATTTCCTCAAATGTTATCATTTCATTACATAATCTATGGTTACATATATGTCTATGCATATCCCCAGCAAAGGCAAGTCATGAAAATATTTGTTAAATGTAATAGCATATACATGTAACTGACTTTCAATGAAAATACACTTAACTGCTTAAATAGTTTTGATCAAGCCTTTTCTTATAAAAAATGAAAAGGGTGAAGATAATGAACTATGATTGAACTAAAAAAAAACTACAAACAGTACATGTGAACAAGGCATAAAACACGGACTCCTGGAAATTTCAGAGGTAAGATCACGTGTCTAGGAGGAGTAAGCATCCCCTGTCTTCTGGTCACACACTTCATGAACCCTAAGTATTTATCAGGTAGACAGAATATTCCATAGTCAAATTTATTATAAAATCAAAGGCCTGAAAATGCCTGACAAAATATGACCCAATGAAAGGTTAAAATTTGCTAACAAGTTAGGTCATTATAATGACCATAGAATTTATGAAATGCTGACTTTAAATGAAGTTATTGAAATCCTTGTAACATCAACTTATCTGCCAGTAGCTTGCCTTAGTTTAAAAATTGATCATACTCAGGGCATGCTCTTGAATAGGAATAAGTTGGGAGACATAAACGTCATACCCAGGTGATAGCAGAATATTTACTACAATAATAAGAAAAGTTGACAATGGAGAAGCTGAAGTCATCTCATTTGTGACAAATGATTTGTCATATAGTTTAGTTGTTAGTTGGTTCTTATCATCTATAGTCATCTACAGTCACTAAATTATCTGAATATGAAACGTATGCCAGACTCTGTGGTGTCTTTTATGAGTTCAGTGGATATATCGAGTCAACATATGAATGGAAGTAACTATTGTTAATTGATTTAAAATGTCATTGAAATATATGAATATCAAGTTAAAGGTCACAACAAGTGTTTTCTTCTCATGTAGAAGTTTTTGAATAAATTCTTCTTCATGGGAATAAAAAAAAAGTCAGCTAATACAGAACACAATTGCAGGTGCCCATCAGAATTACAAAGGATTGTAGGAAGACTTTAGATGTTACGAACCAGAAACTAAAACATCTTTCTAATATCAGCTTCAGAGAACTTATGTATAGAATCAAAAAGAAAGCCCTAATTGACACCAATCATACCCCCCCCCCCTCCTTTCTCCCCCCAAAAGATTAAGATTTAGTTTGAATTATTCCGAATGACATCTACAGTTCTTGAGAATCTGATACTTGCATATAAATAAGTCTTAAGATGATATCAATTATTTTTTATTACTTTTTTTTAATTGAAAAGAAAGTCTCACTTGGGCCATTGACTCATGCAGTTGAGCTGAAAAAGTGAAATGTAACATTGTCATATATAAATGTTTAATTATTTGATTTTGTTTTGTTTCAGGTTAAAAATGGGCAAGTTGTATGATTTATTAATAGAACCTTTTGTAAATTACTCTGAAAAAAGAACAGGAACAAAAAGAGAAAATCCAATCAAGCCGAATTCATTGCCAATAAATCAAGAGACAGACCCAGAGAATGAGGGACCTTCCAAGGCCCAAGAGACCAAGCCCGAGGATGAATGTTATGCATGTAAAGCTATTGTCATAGCTACACTGACTATGTATGGCACGGCTATCCTTACTATTCCTAGTACTGACAAATATAAACAGAGCATGAGAAAATACCTGAAAAACAAAAACACTGTACTGGCCATATTTACAGCTCATTCCTTTTTTGGATGTGGTAAGTACACATTACTAGTATTATGTTCATCAGTTTTATATGCGAATGTAAGTGACCAGTTGCCAGTACTAGTAGATTGGTTGGGAAAGAACCTGTCTCCTCGAGTGTGTCGAGATAAGGTGGCGTAATTTCAAATCCTAGTCATTATCTTCCTATTACACGCATATTTTGACTTATTCTCTATTGAGAAGTTGATGGCTCGTTTAATACTCCCCCTCATTCTCTATTGAGAAGTTGATGGCTTGTTTTAATACTCCCCCTCATTCTCTATTGAGAAGTTGATGGCTTGTTTTAATACTCCCCCTCATTCTCTATTGAGAAGTTGATGGCTCGTTTTAATACTCCCCCTCAACGAAGTTGAGAGGGAGTATTAAAACGAGCCATCAACATCTCAATAGAGAATAATTTTGACTCTTTCTTTGATCATTAAAGCCAAGATGTGCGCAATAATATCGATATTCCGGTGTATTGCGGTTCGTTGACAAAAAATATCGTATCGCAATACGTTTTTTCAGTACCGATATATCGGCAAAATGCTTGGGCGTGGGAATTCTAAAGTAAAATATGAAATTTAATTTATGAAATTTAAGATGTCAGAACCTTTTCAATAGTGCCAAACAGTAAGGTTGCTGTTGTATGGTTGCTTTTCGGTACAAAACTGTAGAACTTAGATCAACAAGATTTTTTTTTGATATTACATATTAATCATTATGATAGTTATATACCTTCTGCTTGTAAATGGGGCTTGATAAAATAAGAAAAGATCATCTTAACTGTTTTTGAAAATATTGCAATACATATCAATGACATGTTGCAATACAGTTAAAAATATCGCAGTATATTGCAATACGAAATTCCCTGCCCTATTACAGCCGATTTATTTTTTCTTTCGCTGATTATCAGTTTTATTCTACTTGTAGGGTGTTTTGTTGCTGCATTTTACCAAATTTACAAACTAAAGGAAATGCTGGATCGACGGAAAGAAAACTCAGTAAAGGAATCCTGATATACTTTGACTTTATATGTTTTGATATTTATAATAAATTGTAAAGCAAATATATATGTTATTTATTTCTTTATACGTAATGTAGAATTAAATTTATTGTCTGGGTTCGAGGGCGAACATGCTACATTTATTGACTGGATTTGAGGCCACATTTTTAAATTGTCGAACCTGAGAACCAAACTAGTGAAACTACCGTTTTGTTCAAGGACTCGGCAAAGTAAATTTTTGCAATCACGAATGCAAATTAAATATGATGCAAAAATGTCATAGCGGTCCAGGATTTCATCAGATAGTCCAGTTTCTTACCTACCAGTCTAATTATAACTCTTATCACTTACTTTTAATTATGCAAAGAAAACTCTACTTTTTTGGGTTGAAGTTCATTACTCTTGGGAGAAAACAAAAACTTACGTGCAAAATTATCATCAGCATGTTTTAATAATCCTCAGAAAAAGGAACAGATAAGGGATTCTGTAACTAACTTCTAAAAGAGTATTTCAAATTTAAAAACAACATCGAATAAAACACAAAATTTCAAGAAATCCATAACTTTTCTCAATGTTGATTAAATTCTTTTATCTAATAATAATGCATAATACATTTATTTCAGCAGGATACCAGTGCCCCCCCCCCCCCCCCCCGCGCCCGGCATAAAGTAAATCCCGCGTATAATACTACCTCAATACGACTATGGAGAATTAATTACTTTTTTCATTACAAGACGCAGTACCATTACAGAAGTAATTAACCATACCAATTGCCAAAATTTTAAGGAGACAACGTAATTTTGAACCAATTTTTTTTTTATTTTTTGTGAACTTTTATAATGCCTAAAGATGCTGTACACCTCCTCTAAATAAATTTGATAAATACCAGCTAATCTAAGAACTATTTGTTTTGTAATTTACTAATTTTCCTTTGAATAAGACAAGGATTTTTCAGTATTGTTTGATATCTATTCAAAACCCAAGCTTGATAATGTATGTTGATATTTTTTCTCTGAAAACATCTGATGGTAAATCATGGCATTATGATTTCAAATTAAGAATATCATGAAAATTTATGAATGGGTATAAAGATACGCTGTAAGTACTTTGACTATGACCTTAAGTTTCAAATTCAAGTTGAGTGCGGTCTATGTGATCGTTATTTATTGTCAAAGAGCACTGATTTATAGACATTATGCATATTCATCAATATAAATGAGATATATCAATACAACTATCAATATTAATGTAAAGTATCAATATTTCAATTCTTGTCAGAGTTCGTCGTGTGCGGGGCTGTGGACTTCCTCGTACAGTCTCTGCGCCTGCGGACTGGCGAAGTTGAGTTGAACCTTGTAGCTTGGTTTCTCTTTCACGCGCTTTTCAACACGAAATAACGACTTGGCAACAGTCATGGCGATTTTCATTTCGAAATTGTAAAGTTCATCCCAAGTCAGTTTCCGATCTCGATTTTTGTCCACCAGTCTGAAAAACTGTAAACTTAAGTTAATTAAAACACAATATTGTGACCTCAATTTAATTTCTTTCTAGATATTCTACAAGTTTTGTTATTTTTTTAATATCGCATCGCTCGGCCTTTTCTGTCAAGTGCTTTCTTTCTCGACTTGATGGGCTATGTTCCAGATGATATCACTGTTAGATTACTTGTGTTCAATCTTTATATACAATGTAGACTCCTTATACTCAGTGTACCCTAACAGTCTAATGAATGTTGTACGTCTGATAAAAAAAAATTTCGCGTTCATAAGACATTTTTCTAGGAAATAGGTTTACATAAATTACCTAAAAGATATTGTACATGTATTAATTCTGTGTTAAAGTTGCATTCAGCTTTCATGTTATTGAGCACTCTTTTACGTACTTATGTAGCATTGTATGCAGTGCATTTTGAACTAATGTTTCAAAAATGTTTAAAATCGGATTGTCTTCGATATTTGAAGTTTCTTTTATTTGAATGTTTAAAACTTCATATCTATAGGGGTAAATTCTGTACTTTGATTTTTTTATAGCAACATTTTTTTTCGGAGCAATTTTCCAGTTAATTCTCAGATTCCACATCGCAACGTTCAAAAATTGCACAGTTGTTCATACACATTTATTTTTATTCCAGAATAAAGCAGTTTTCCCATTATTGTTATAAATTCCTGATAACTCATTAGAGTTATCACTCTTAGTGTACAGGGAAGGCGTGTCTTGCAGGAGATCAACTTCGTGTGAATTTTCAGACGTGTGACCAAAGGTATGCCTTGACCCTGAAGCAAGGCTATTTGGATAAGTTAAAGTCACACGGTATTATCCAAGTTATTTTTTTGTTTGAGTCATAATTTTGTAATGAGAATCAACAGCAGCTCATTTTTTGCATTATAAAAAGGTGTGTTCCTATCCTTAATCCAACGTCATTTGTAGTTGTTTTTTTTTTTTTGAAGGGGGGTGGTGGGGAGCCAGGGAGTATACTAAAATGGTAAAAAGCTCCTACTTGTAGAGTTCAGGTGCTCGTGACCAAAGGGTGTATCATGACTCCGAGCCAAGGAAATTTCTCAAAGGTCGCAAGATTAAGAAGAATTAACTCTTTCAGGTAATAACGCTGTTATGCTCAGCTTAATTCAAAGGTTGCTTATGATCGGAGGCCATTTTGTGAACAATGCCATTTCAATGGATTAAATGATACTCTGATATTCTAGAAAAAGAATTCTTAGTTTCCAGTTTTAAAAAAAATAAGTGTACCCTTTGGTTGGTATAAGTCTCGTTCTGATAGTTCTAGATACCACTGGAATAAATATAGCATAATCTAATGTTCTACTGTTCCTTAACTGTACCACTATCACCCTCCACCCCCTCCTCCGCAATTATTGGATTCTCATACAAAAAGGGTTGTCAAGGGTATAAATTAATGAAAATGGGTAATTCAAAAATAAAGAACTAAAATATGAAGCTGGTCATCCCTACAAGGGCTATCGAGGCTCGCTGCAGCTAACTGTCTGAAATCAAGAGATCGAAACTCTACCGCATTACTAGTGAACTACATGTAGACAATACAAGTTCCCTATATACTGTCTGCTACACTTCCCCTACTCAGGAAAGCTTCGTCCCAAAACTTTCCGAGTGTTTGGGGTCTCAAACAGCAACCTGCCTTCCATGGATAGTCTGTAAATGGACACAAAGTCTTTGAGCTTCCTGAAGCAAGTCAGCATACATGAACAATATATAACAACGTAGTAGATACAACGCATATGTACACATGTACCACGGTTACTGGCACATACTAGTATTTTGCAGCACTCTTTGCTTCCTTTAAACTGCAGTACTTCGCTATACAGTTTATTCATATTTTTTATATATCTTTCGATTTATGATACAAATACTATATATAAAAATATATGATCTAAATCATTATGCCTCTTTAACCTGCCTGAAATCGACGGAGAATCTAAACTGCATAACCAGAAAAGCCAGCTTACTAGCAAGGTCATATGTTCCCTAAATGCTGTCCTCTACAGAATAAAGAGGGAACAGTTCATAAGAATAGTAAGTTTTAGTTGATATGTAATTTTACTCACTCTGATATAATCCCCATCCTGTTCTTTACGGAGACGAATCAGGTTCTCCAGGTCTGATAGCTGTACCTCGGCCAAACCCTCAAAGTCCCGGAGCATCCTTATCCTGTCATTTAAAATCAAGCATACATGTACAGCTCTGTATTTGTTAATGTTTTATGTTCAATGACTGAAGAAAGCAAGACAATATTTTCCAAGTGCCAGAAAGTTATTTTGCCGTTCTTTAGATATCACGTACCAGGTATAGGCCTCTTATTTAATTATGATTCAGTTTTTTATGTCTTTCTGCTTTAATTAATTATCAATACATAACAAAGAACTTGACTTTATTGCCAAATGTAAATGAATGGATATATCTTTTTTCACCCCAAAAATGATTATTTAAAAGCTAAAATAGATATACATGTATATGTATATTCATAAAGAAAACACAAACTGGAGCACAATACTCTGTAATGCAAAATTGTTATTAAGACTGTACCTTTTCTTTTCTAGATCAGATAAAAGAGTAACAGTCGTCATGTTCCTGATTTTCTCTATACTTTGGACTCTAGGACATCCAGAAACATTAAAGTATAGAGGACGAAGGAATTGATAACTGATGACTAGAGTTCTTTGGTCTCCACTCCGAGCATGATGATACCAACTGAGAGACAAAACAAATGGTAAACATGAAATATATTTCAATGAAATATTAAGAAATACATTCAAATGAAATTTTAATGAAATTCTCCTGCTTCTTTAGATTTTGGAGCTTTTATTCATTAACCGTTTAGTGTTTACATATTTTTTGTCATATTACATATTTTGAAACAATACTGTAATGTTTCGTTCACAGAGGAAAAAATATCTTTGTGTATTTACATGTACTGTAATATTTTACCATTATATCATTGATATTTAAGGTATTCATTGTATAATGAAATGATTTTGAATAATTCACTATTTAAATATACATTGCTAGATAACGATGAAAGAGAATGAACCAAATTCACACGACTGGTATCATATAAGAAGCCAGTCATTTTGCACCATAAACATTTTTGAAGAGTTTTCTGCCCTTGAGGAAAAGAAGAAAATTTTAATTTTGTCAAAATATCTGTGGTAAATGATTCATTTTATTTCAAATTTTAATAGAGAGGGTTTATGCATATTTTTACCAAGAGATTTATATGAGGTTAAATTACTTTTTACAATACTTAATAATACATGCGCTGCCCATGGACTTCAATGTAAAATTCAAGGTGCAATTTAAAATTGGACAATAATCAAAATTTTGTAAATTCCTTTGGTGTTGAATTTTTATTTGATAACACCTTCAAAATGCTACCATGATTTAAAATATCGGACCATTTATATAATAGGTACACAATATGGTCGTTATACATTGAATATCTTAATAACATTTTTAGCATAAAAATGAACGTTTACTCCTTGGGTATGTAGATACAATCTCCAGAATTTATGCTGGACTTCCACCATTGAATACTTTGGAATTCTGGGAACCGGAACATGTCTACTCGTTCCACATCTACTTCACTATATGCCCCAGCCTCGTTCCAGTGTCGCTTCTCGACTAAGTCTCCCTGCCCCTAATTCATCAATTCTAGATTTTAGGGAATTTTCCCGCGATTATTTTTTTTATATATAGATTTGCTTCTATGAAATGATAAATTTTGTTACGTTTTTTTATGTGGAACACAGTTTTAGGAGATGCATTTATTTCTTTTTTTTCCTATATTTTTTTCCTTCGTTTTTAATTGTATGGATTATGGAAAGCCAAAAATGATACATAGAATCAAAGATGATTAAGCCCTTTTTAATCAGTGTTCAATTTCCGAGCAAACATTTTCATATTTGATGATTAATCAAATGATTAATCTTACACTGTCTATAAGGTAGACTTCTTTCGTCCCGTCCAACAGACAGTAGACACTCTCAAAGACGTCCTTACGTAGAACGGTCTGAAGACCTCCACTGCTCATCCAAACGATCACACGTTGGAGCATGCGCTCAAAGGAGCATAATAAGCAAAACGGTAAACTTACATTTTCTGCAAATATAATTTAATTTAGATGAACCCGAAAAATGAACAACAAAATTTGAAAATTGTTAAAAATATTATTATTTACTTAAGTTGCAAACACGAGTCTTTGATTAAGAAAATAAGATATGGGTATTCATATAACTACTTCTACTAAATGAAATTTTGCGTTTTAAAATTTAGTGCGGCCGCGGCATATGATGTATAAAATTACAGGGACAAAAAAAATTCTGAACGCAGGTATTATAAAGCTGTCTATACTTATTGTTTTCTAGCATTTTCTACTCATTTTTACAATTATTTAAAAAAAATCTCTCAGTTTCTCAATATCTAGATGTTGTAGGATCATTTTTCTGTGGAATAGCTAAAGATTATCAGTGCCTTACCCTGCATGCTCTTTGGAACGTCCTGAAACATGTAGATATCCTTGAATGTGTAATCGTTTATGAAGTCGTTCAGTCTGTAGTAACGGTAGGAATTGTCCAAATCTTCCTTCTTTCCATACTCCGCATACATAATTTCCCGCCCAAAAGTAGTGCTGAAATATATTGTGTTTAATAACGAATGTTTTTAAATTTGCCAAATAGAGCAAATTTTGTGGTAGATGGCAAATTTATACGGTCTTTATTATGTCGTGTTACATGTAAAATTAAAGTAACTTCATTGCTGGGAATTAAAAAAAAAACATTTTACTAAATTCTGACGTTCTCCTTGACCCCTTATTTGCAGTTTTAAATGAATAATTTTGTAACATATGATGCATTTAAATTTTTAAATAAAAACCGGATTTATTGCTAAAATATGCTTACCTAATTTGGTTATAATGACTTAAGTAAAAGTTATGACAACAGTCTACTTTTTTCAATGACCCTTGTGTGTACAAAAAGCTATTTGAGAAATTCAATTAACCTACTTCAAGTAATCGTCCGTCCAAAGACCAAAAGCTGGCATGTTTTGTGCATTGAGGACTTGACGGAACTTGACAGGAATTCTGGGTAGCACATACATTTCGAAAAAGTCCTCTGGAGTTGGAAATTTGCTCAGTGTTTCAATTTCTCCCTCTGCAGGTTGGTGGGATCCAAAATATTGAAGGTGTCCTCTGGGTTTATATCGTGCACCCACGCCATGACCCACAGCAAAAATAAAAATTCCTAAATACGACAGGATTTTCATCCTGTTTTCCAGATAGTAAAGAAATGTTAGTATTGCCGGAATTCGTCGTGAATTATTTGCCTAACAAGAACAATTCGGGCATTTAAAGAAAGAAAAGAAATATAAATACTTCTTTAGGAAATCGATGGTTTCAGAAAGAAAATCATTAATGACATCAATCGATTGTCAGTCATTGCATGTTTAAACTTAACAATGATAAAATAAAAATGTGTTTCAAAACAGATAACAGTCTAAATTACTAGAAATAGTTTACAGTCTTAATTCAATCTTCTTTTTCAAAAAAGTACACATGTAAATTCAAAAAAGCATGCGTTCTTTATTTGGTAAAAGTGCACTCGTTCCATGCATTTTCATTCAAAGCCCCCGTCCCTATAGACATGTTTGATAGGAAAAGAATTTGACAAATTGTAAAGGTACAACAAAAATATACAAGTATAGCAGAGAAAAAATCTACAGATCGAAATGAAAGATATTAATGGGTCATAAGTGTAAGAGCAATCCCACAGCTATGTGTACTCCCTCTTTTGCTGAACGAATCCTTTTACAAACCACATTATAGAAAACAAATTAAATACGGGAGGAGGTGGGGGAGGGATTAGATATGTCATTTAAAATTGATACGAAAATTGACCAAAAAAAGGAGAGAGAGAGAAATTTAAAAATGAAAATAAAATAGATGCTTTAAAAGTAGCTGAGTTATTAGCTGGACTTTCGAAAGTAAATATTTAGTTTGAAAAAAAAAATCATCAGATGTCAAATTATTTGATAGCTGGCTAATCTTTTATGATAAAAAAAAAAAATATCAGCATTTAAAAGATTACTAGAATTTTGTATCTGAAGGTGTGTGTAAAAGCTGAAATAATCAAAGCCAATTAATAAAAAAAATCTTGTCACAACAATTTGCATGACCTTATCAATTTCCCAGCAATGACGTTACTTGCAATTCGACGCCATATAAAGGTCGTAAAAATTAATGAAGACAGGACTGAAAGACATTACTAGAGCACAAAGAGACTTAGAATCAATACATGCAGCGATATCGGCGGTGTAAATTAAAAGTTTTTTTTTCTTTTTGATACGGTCTTATTCTCAGTGTAAATGCCTGAATTTCAAAATATACCTAATTTTTTTTTTTTTTTTTTTGGGGGGGGGGGGGGGTGTTGTTTTTATTATTTATGTTTTTTATTTATTTATTTATGTTTGTTGTTGTTTTTGTTTTTGTTTAATTTGTTTGTTTTGGTATTACTATTATCATTATCATCATTTGTACCATTTATAACATTTTTGTATTCATTTAAAAAAAAGTGCTTTCCATTTCATTGTTCATGCACAGTATGAAGTACTATATTTTTTATATTTGAATAATTTGCTAATATGGAATACGCTGGACAAAACACGTACAACTCAAACAATTTTTTGTTGGAACAAAACCTTGAAGAATGATAAATTTATTAACGTATATAAGGCAGAACGCTAACATTTAGAATAATGAATTACATGTACAGAGAAATGTGGAAAATAAATGTATAAAACTTCCTTGTTCTATATGTCTGATATTTATTCATTTATTTATTTTTGTATTTTATAGGACGTACAACTTCAATATATAGCCTAGATAACTACCAGGGAACATTTTCTTGTATCACAAAATCATTTTAAGCATAAATTAGTGAATGTGAACACTATCACAGGGTCTCTGTCTTTATTTTGATGATTTATTGTTTCCAGGGAAAAAAACCCACCCAAAACTTACAGTACGTCAAGGCGTTTCCGCACTCTGAAGCAGTATTCAGTTTCCCACCCTATGACGTCACAATACATTTAACTTTTTATGTGCACTGACGGTTTAACGTAGGTCGCGGGTTTGCTGACGTCGTTAAAACTGGGTACGCAATTTATATGATTTGGGCGACTTTCTTGTGCACATTTGATTATGACGTCACAATGAAAAAGAAATCTGCGATGATTTTTGTTTTATTAAATTCTTCAGTATATCATTATTTAGGTATAACTTTTCTTGGAATTGGTAGTTTAGTGTTATATTATTTAAGCAACAACTTATCACAAATAATGAAGGCTTTTTACGATTTGTAAGTCGATACAATACTTAGATAAAACTTTTTTTGGTATTGGTAATTTAGTGAAGAAGGCTTATTCGAATGATCGACACTGGAAATATTAAAAAAAGTTTAATTATTTCTTATCAATCGCATCTTCTCGGGCCTTTCCTGCAAACTAGGAAAAACAAGTGGTTGTTTTTTCGGCTTGTCGGAAAGGCCCGAGAAATTGCAATTGATTTGTTCTCACTTGGTATCGCGAAACGATATGGACACAAGGTTCAACTGACCTTTTTTCCTTTGATCGTATTTGAATTATCAGTTTTGTTTTATTAAGAAAGAAGCCATTATTAAAAAAAAATCGCAAATACACCTGTTACATCAAAAGATTAAATTTTATTTTTAAACAGGATATTTTTTAAAATATATAGATGTACAAGTTTATCATAAATTAAATACTGCTAAGGTACGATGAAACATTAAGACAATTTTTTAGCGGCACTGACTTCCTGTTCCTGACAACTATTTGATTCTGAGGGAGAGGAGGAGGGGGTTGCAAATTTTACCGAGTCAGATTGTTTATTTTCATGTCGATGAAGGACAGATTATTTATTTCCAAAAAAACAAGGACAGATTATTTATTTCTTCTTCACAGAAAAAAGCCTGACGAGCATAAAAAAAAGAAAGAAAAGAGAACATCAAAGTTGAAAACTCCCGGGGGGGGGGGGGGTGCTAGAACTAGTCTTGGACAAATTATTGATTTTCTTGCCCAGTCGAAGACAGATTATTTATTTTCAACATTTTCGAGGACAGATTATTTATTACCAAAATCTGTTACACCCCCCTCCCCATGAAATGATCGTCCCCTAAGCAACAGCTTACAATGCTGTTACCTACATAGTTTATTCGCTACTTTGCTTTCCATGTCCAACAAATAGAATTAATGTTCTAAAAAACCTGGCTGTTGATTACGTCAGATAAAATTAATTTTTAAATCCTCGTCCCATTTTCCCCTCTGAAAATGTGGTATGTAAAAATAAATATTTTGTTTAAATATATACTGAAAATATATTGTATTTAGCCGGGACGATATTTGGCAGAAATTCGTAGATTTGAGAGAGCGCCTTGCTGAATGGTCTAAACAAAAACATTTTATATACTTGAATTAAAGGATACCGTTTTCCGCCAGCACGCTTGAAAAGAAAAATATACAGCCAAATGTAAGAAAACATCTAATCAACGAAAAAAAGCAAAACAAAACAAACAGAAAAGAAACGGTAAGATAACACATAAAGAAAGTAAATTGGAAGAAAGAAACTAAAGGATTGATTGTTGTTTTACGTCCCTTGCGAGAATTTTCACTAATATAAAACGTACAAAAACCCTAATCTGAAGAGAAACATATCTAATAATCATTTCAATGATATTAAATTATTATGATACGATTCACGGGCCACTTGAAAGTAGATAGACGTGAATTTCTTTTTTATAAAAATTATTTTAGCTCATATTTCTGCACTGAATACCGGATAGATATTCACGACGTCAAGCATGACGATATTTTATGGCGTCGTTCTAAAAAATGTTACATTTTGCGATATAAAAGCAATTGTCCACATTTAAATTACGCGAAAACTAACCCGAAGTCATATTAATTTTTTCACATCGATTTATTTCAAATCAATTCTTTGTTAAAATACCAAAGGGAAAACAATTTCGTCTGCACCATTTAAAAGTTATTGATATTTTTTGAAACAAAATCTTGCCTCAAAACGAGCCGAAAACGACGTTTTTCTTATATAATTCAATAGAATAACGTCGAAAATGTAACGACAACAATGGCATGTTTGGGATTTAATTACACAAAAACGATGCAGACGAATTTTATAAAAATTTCAGAGAATATAAAACCAAGGTAGAGGATTCATATAACTAATTTTCAAGGTATGTTTTCGGACACTTTTAAATGGCCTGCAAACCCGCGACCTACGTTAAATAATGGATATAGGCCTATGAAGTTCTAAAAGGAGTTCCAAAGGTAAACAATTTTTATGACATACAATTTACGCATTTAACAGCTATATTTAGCTTTAGGTGTTGCCATTGGTGATGACGTCACTCTTGGTAACTGCAAGGAACCGTTGCGTTGTGGTTACTGTTGTTAGTTACTCACTTCGATCAGTGGCGATTAGACGTGTTTTTCACAGAGCGACAAAAATCTCATATATCACTATGAAAAGAGAAAGATCTTCTAAAAGAAAAAGCAAGAGTGTGTCTAAGAGGGTAATTCTTCAGGAAATAAATTTTGATTGGTCTTTAATGTTTGTTTTCATGAAATATACTTGCAATATATCATAGACATATACGGCCGGGTTCACATGAGGCACGGCTTATCATAAAAAATGCTTCATGAGAAAGAAATGTTTACATACCCATGATATCCTAATTTTACTTGAGTACAAAACGGAGAAAATATGCACGCATTTGATTTTTTTATAGATAAAAAGTTAAAATAAATATGTGAAAAGGGGGGGGGGGTGTTGGCAGAAATAGTAATAAGTAGTCGCGGTGTTGGATCATGGAGCTAGACATGCATTTTAGTAAAAATACTTAAAATACTGTGTGAAGTACACGCCACAGTACATGCAACTCCCAAATATCATTAAATTTTAAACTTAAATATGTTTATTGGAAGTGTCTACCATTGTCAAAGTAAGAAAAATCAAAAATTGAACAAAATGCACGGATCCACATTCCAAGGCGGGGTCCACATGTCATACTCAGAAATTTTTTGTCAAGAAAAAAAAACTCTACTTCTCCAAACCCGAAAAACCTATTTCGTTGGGGGGGATAGAAGAAGACACTTTCCAAGGTCAATTTCCCCAATAACATGACTCTAGACTCCTTACTAATAATTATAAGCAAAGGGGAGCGTACTGAGCAGCAACCGTATTTTGAGTTGTTCCCCTTTGACCATAAAATGATTTACAATGTAAGATACTCTGTTTTGCCTCATACATTAATTATCAAAACATGTAATAATTCAGAATTCAGTATAACAAAGGTCATAAAAATTCCACAGATATAAATTCATCGAGAAAAATGAAATTTATTGTTGTTTTAAAATTTGACTAAAAGATACATGGCTACATGGATTTATTCTATTTTAAGGTTTGTTTGCAAATGCATAAAATTACTACAGTTTAAATAGTTACTACAGTTTAAATAGTTACATGTACATGTATTTATATGGAGTGTGTGTGAAAATTAACATCCCTTGAATAATCGAGAACGTTTTTGTTGTAATTCTAGCGCCGTGTAGAGGCCTCTTCTGATGACAGTCGTCAGTGGTACGAGGTGATGCTTGCCCTGGCGGCCAAATCAGCTGTAAGTCTTTCTCCTCTCTCTCTCTCTCTCTCTCTCTCTCTCTCTCTCTCAACCTCTAAATTAGTTTATCTTATTTCTCTCCAGTGCAAGCAAGTCCTTGCTTCTGCTGTTCATGAATGGAGAGATCACATTCGGGACTGGGTAAGAGTCTGAATGGGGTCATTTTATAAGTGCATTGATCTTTGTATGTCTTTTATCCATGACTGTATTTTCTCTTGGTTTTTAGATAGTACGCTGTACTTCTATTTTTTTTTTACTTTTAGCGTGAATTGACCAGTGCCATCAACAAGTCTGAGGAGCGTAGAGAGCTTCCTACCATACCACAACCTACGCATCAGGTAGTGTGGGACTCATTCTCAGTGTTGGAACAACATAGACACAAATATTCCTTTTACTTAGATACTTATACATTATACGAATCTATGAACGATAATCAAGCTTTTTTATTCACACTTTCTTGGTCGGTTGTAAGTCATATGAACTGAAATGTCCTTTTTTTCTAACAGATTGAGTGGCTGGCTAGAGTCAATTTTAAGCACAGACCAGTGCGCCGTGACGTACCAGAACAGAGACGTCACAAAGTCTCCAAGAAACAGGACTTGAATTCTTCCCTTTACGTTTATTGAAGAGGAGAATTCTATATTGGTAAATTGAACCTCCTATAAACCATAATTATGATGAATTAAATAGGGAATATTCAAGTTGGATATGAAATTCATTCATGAGTGAGACAGGATTTTTTTTTTATATTTTCACGATATTTTATTCAATGGATAAATTAGAGTGTTTCACTGTTGAAAATGTAATAAAGGGTGTTAATTATGTTATATATTTCCTATATTTTACAAAGAGATAGTAAATGAAATGATACAAACACTAGTAAATGTTCTAGAGAAAATATAGAATATAGAAATATGGAATTTTATTGAGGATCAAAGTTTTGATCCCCATTTTGGAAAGACAGTTATAATTTTCCTTTGGGTATGCCTGTTTCAAAATTACAACTTGCTATTTTGTGTTGAAATACGTATCTAAATCTAGCCCTTTTGTCAGCAATTTGATTTTTTTTCCTGGAATTTTGTAATTATTATAATAATGCCTTTTCCTTTCTTCTGTAGGTTATATGTCTGCATGGTCGCAAATGTCACAGAACGACACAACCATCTCTGTACCACTGGGCTCGACTTTCATGTTTCACACCCCCTATGTATTGCATTCTGTTAGCGTATAATGGGGTTGTGTATGTGACTGTATATATGTTACATAGACAAAACAATCGAAGCATGCATTGCAGATGTACTTATTATTTGGGAAAGTTTTATTTTCCTTTATTAGGCCGGCATGGACCCATAAGTTTTATACCCATCACTCGGACTTGATGACAGCGCCCCTTTTTACATCATATAGACTCAATATAACACGATACATTCGCTGGATGCATTGCTAAGTAAACAGTGTAGTACCATTGTGTTCTTGCCTGGTACTCATGCCCCTTTTTTCACTGCATTATGGAGCCATTGATTTGTGACTACCGGTACATAGAAAATGTCTGCTACTATATAGAATGGAGTTGCTGTCTCCGGGTGTTTCTTCTTGACAAAGTTTTATTTGCCTTTATTAGGCTGGACAATGTGCACCTCTGTATATAGTACTTGCATGATCTTTTCATTGCTGAAATAAATTTTTCTTTAAAAATGAGATTGACGTTTGTTTTAGTTGTCATAATACCCCAGACAGTGATTGAAAATTTGAAACACGAGCGTTTGAAAGACGGGGATTGAAATATATTTATTGATATTTTTTTTCGAATTCCCCTTTTAAACTTTATTTTTGTGACATTTACATATTGAAGTACGGAAGCCCATTAAGAACCTATCAAAAATATTTTTGAATTCGATGTAACAAATTGTAGAATTTGTTATAACGAATTTAATTCTTTATAACAATTCTTTGAATTCGTTAAAATGTATTTAATCTGCTATAACAAATTTGTTGAATTCGTTCTAACGATTCAAAAATTTGTTTTAACGAATTAAATTCGTTTAAACGAATTCAAAGAAATGTTATAACGAATCATATTCGTTTATTCAAATTCTAAAATTTGTTATAACGAATTAAATTTGTTAAAGCGAATTCGACAAATTGTTATATCGAATTCATATATATTTTTCTGTAGGCCCTGATTGTTGAATTTGATTAAGGGTATTTAATTCGTTATAACAAATTTTAGAATTTGATTGAAGGAATGTAATTCGTTAAAACATTTTTCAATTTTGATTTTTTAAAAATTAAAATCGTTATTACGAATTCAAAGAAATTGTTATAACTAATTAAATTCGTTAAAACTAATTCGCCAATTCGTTATATCGAATTCAAAAATCTCTTTTGATAGGTCGTAAATGGGCTTCCCTATTGAAGTGATATGAAAAGAACTTAGTCTTGTCTTCAGGAGCCACCTACTCTGCGTTTTTGCTTGTCACGTGAAATGAATATGTACTCATCATCAGTTTCAAGGCATTAAAATAATTTTAATTCATTTTCTAACTGTAAATCAAGCACTATTGTTTAAAAATATTTTTACAGTGTAGTTCAATAAATCTGATTGGTTTGGTTGATGTCAGGTGCAAAACTTATATTTTACGATATTGGCTCGAGTAAATAAAAATATAATAGGGAAAATCCGAAGATGTGTGTTTATAATGGTGAAAAGTCTTTAAAACTTAAAATTCTCATATAAAGACTTTGTCTCTGATTTGTTCCAAAGAAAATAATATTACAGATATATCTTTTTGATTCAGTCAATCCATTATATATCGACTTCATAGAAAAGCATATCGACTTAACAATTCTTACTCAGTTGATATGTATTCTTTGAAGTCGATATACATGTATCTATGGATCGACCTCACAAAAGGGCTATATTTGTATACATGTATTAATAATTTTACACCTGCAATTCGAAATTTCGTGTACTAGTATTTCATAGATGTGCAAACAACTACATGTATCTAAACATTAACTACTTAAACTGTTCCATGGACCAAGAATTCCTGGAAAACAAAATAAGTAAAATTCATGTATTAGAGTGCATGAACTACCCTTTAAAATCTGATTTATTGAATTTATCACAAATAGATCCCTTATAGTCAAGTGTAATATTGGACGTTGGAACCTGAAAATACATCACTGCCCTAGGGACTTCGGACGTCTGATCGTAAGATGGCCACACTGTAGATGAATTGTTAGTGCTAGCACCATTTGGATTTCCATGTTTAGCAAAGTTTGTCCAATATATAAGAATGTCATTTTCTAGGCGGGTTTCTTCTTGGTTGAGAGGAAACACTTTCTGTAGATTCTGAAACAGATACGGTATGTCACCTCCGTGACATGCGTTGTCATGGCAATTCTCCATAATACCTGTACCATTCAGAAATTTCATTCCATAGTCGAACACATACAACCAGACTTTATGCCGAGAGAGTGCTAGGTCTTCAGCGATCTGTCTTGTCGGACAAGTAAAAATGTAGTCCGTGGCGAGTTCCGCCAAAGCCTCGCGAGCATCTCGCGCGTTTCTGGGAGAGTATCTCGAAAGCCACGTGAAAGCTTCGTTTTGATTGATCATTAACAAAAGTCCAGAATACGTCATCATATTCATTGGTGATGTAAATATGTTGTACACATACGTCAGTCCTTCGTGTGCAGTTGTTCCAATGATAAGTGATTTATTAGCAACAAGTCCCTTCTCTATAGCAGTGTGAGGATTAACCGGAACCTCGTCACCGTCATAATGCGGTGACCAAGGCAAAAACCGTTGAAGCACATTGCCAATGGCTCTAGTAGACGCCTGTGCCCTGACAATTTCCATCGGCAATTTTCGACGCAAGCAACGCATGTCTCGTGGAGAGCAGTTGAGATTTCGACTGAATTCAACTCCTTGAGAATACGCTTGTTGAAATGACTTCGGCGGAATGCTAAAAGGACCGCTTTGAATGATGGCTCGCTGGAACAATTTATCCGCTTTTCTCGAGGTAAGATGAATCAGTGCTGACAAAGCGCCGGCACTTTGTCCAAAGAGAGTAACCTGAAAGTTAAAATTATTTATTCATGAAGTATGTTAAAAAATGTTGTTCACATAAATTTTCTAGTAAATTCTTATTTTATGTTACAATTATAAAACATATGCCATTAAGAATAAAAGATTAACACTTTCCACTATAAAAGAAACTAATGTTTACAAAAATATGGTAAGATTTGTTTAGGCCTTTGTGAGCCCTCTCCCTTCAGTACAATTCTTGATTTCTCATATTACTTATAAATCCCCTGTAACTCTCACTGACGTTGACCATTTTTATTATAGCTTACATTTTCTGGATTTCCTCCGAATTTTTGGATATTTTTGTTCACCCATTCCAAAGCCAATCGCTGATCTTTTATCCCATAATTCCCTGTTGCTGAACCTTGACCAGTTCCTGTCACCAGAAAACCCAGCGCTCCTGGAATATCACAGATTAGAACATTTCAATGATAAAAAGATTTTTGTTAATTTAAGACGTAATATTAGTGCTTACTCGGTTGTGGTGGGGGGGGGGGCATAATCCGACAGATAATTTAATCCATATTTACCACCCCCCTCTCTCAATTTGACTTTACATACCCATGCAGTAATAAAGAGATAGAAATATCAGCCAGAAATTCATACAGAGGACCTTGAGAATTCAAGGTCAAACAATCCTGCCCGCAAAGCAGACATCTTGTCGCTTTGCTTAAAGTGTGCTTTATTGATAATTTGGAAGCTCTTTCTTTTTAATTACTTTAAATATTGAATTCTACTTTACTTACCCAATCGGTAATTTACTGTAACTACGATGACGTCACCCCTCTTTGCAAATAATTCTGCATTATAGATATCGGCACCAGCTGTGAAAGATTCGAACGCACCACCATGCAGAAACACCATGACCGCTTTTCCGCTGCTAGGCGCCGTATTTAGAGGCATGTACACATTCAGGTACAAACAGTCCTCAGACATCTAGAATAACATAAAGAAATTTTGAACTTCCAATTAAATTCGACCGCAAATATTTAGGTCAGGGAAACCTAAACATTAGTAACTGACCTGGGAATAATAATTAGAATATTGGACGGTAAGAATTTAGCTTTCATCTTATAGATGTATAGATGTGAACAAACGTGAAGAATTAACAGAAAATCGTAATGTTGAAGCATCTTATCAAGACATTAGAATATTTAATGTTCTGAAAAGCGTCTTTTTGTGACTGCCTAATAAAAGAATTCATAATCTGTACAAATTGTATCATTTCTTTGATGGTAAGGAAAAGCTGCACTCTGTCAGTGTGACTTTCACTTTTAATTAATGAGTAAGTTTTCGGTGTAACCTTTTCGCCCCTAAACTGAATTTCCTCTTGTACTTGTAAGAAAAAAAATTCTTGACTAAAACTAAAATAGTGATGGTTGCATTCTTAACAAAGGCTTATCTCATATAAAGGATAGGAAATAATGATGAATGTAATGCTAACAGAAATGTATGATTAACATTGCAAAAGTATTATTAGTTATAGCAAAATACATTAAAATAAATGCTCCTGAAGACCAAGTGTCATCAAATTCGAATAATTATTTAGCATCATGTAAAAGAATTATGTAAGTTAGGAAATTCAGTGTTTTTATAGCTAATGCAAAAGAACATTTTCTTTAAAGTTTAAACAATTTATAAATTATACTCTAAATATTATAATGTAAAATATTTATAATATACATTGGATGTAAATTTCATGATTATGTGTACATTGAACAATATGTATTCTTTGTTAATCTTGTTTATGGAAAGTAGAACTGAAACACGATGAAGAGATAACATTTAAATGTGTTCTTCTTTAGAAATGAAGTGGGTCCAAAAACGAAACAAAATTGAGATTAATTAGGCAATTAACACCCTAATTAAGGTGAATTTGTCTTCTAAATGATGGATATATACATGTCATTGTGAAAGTTTACGTGCACTATGCAAAAAAGTTGGAATCTCAAGAATCATTGTCTCAATTTGTTTGAACCTCATTTTGAAAGACTGGTTTGCAAAAGTAGAGAACATTTCTTATGCGATTGGAGAGAAAAGCGAAGAGAAAATCACAAAACCTGTCATCATATGATTTTATGGAAGGAAATAATTAATAAAATTCGAAAGCACACAATTTACAAAGGAACAAAAAAAAAAAAGACGGGCGAACAGGACGAGCGAAATGCCTTTAGTGCGACAGACATGAAGGTGAAAAATTAAATCTCAGTTATAACAAAATTTTCTTTGATATTTCATCTAAAATTAAAGTATACTTTATGTAAAATCTCCACAATTTGCAAGAATCTCAATAAGATTGAAATTATTTGCCTATAAAATAGCATACACACATTCAAGAGGGCAAAAAAGATCATTTTCTCATACTTTAACACAATTTTGCGATATGAGTGGGTCTCCCCCATCCCTATTTGAAAGTTTATCCTCATAGTTTGCGTAAAAATATACATTTTTTTTTGGTTAACAAAACATGGAGCAAAGATAAACTATACCTTAAAAATACACTTTTATGACACAACATTCGCTCGCATCTTTACGAGAATTAATGGAAGACCATTTAGTCAAGGGTCATGTCACAAGCATGACTTGAATAACATAATTCATCAGGTGTTGTGTAGCGTAGTGCTTAGTGCGTTAGTCTCAAAGGAAAATGATACTCAAGATTTTTATTGCTAGAGTTCGAACCCCACGAATACCACATTATTTTTTGATAACAGAATAATTTTTTGTAAGAAAATTTTCCTCAGAAAGGTTTTGTTTATCATAATTTCGTTAATTTCAATAATGAGAACTTAACTCTAAATACTAAATTTACAAACTGAATATTATTTTTATATCTCTGAAGCTATAGGCATTCTGCACGCCTTGTTCACCCATCTCCTTTATGATTACTGCACAAACAGTAAGACCTACTTCACGTATGCACAATCCCAGCATTTGATTAGCGCCACATGGTGGCTGTAGGCACATTGGACGCACGTATCGAGCATCCCACATAAAGTCCCACGGTGAAGGCTCTCGTGGATCCTCCCATCTAAAACAAATTTTTTTTTCATGTTAATTTTCATCGTCTTTTACTTTTACACCACTGAAATTGATCCGTTTCTGAAAACTGGCGTACCCATGGAATTCAGCAGTCTGGAAGCTTCCCTACATACGATTTTTTTTTGTTTTAAATGTTTAAGAATTTTAATACACCTAAATAAATTAGAAAATGGAAATTTCTTTGTCTGTTGTGTACACCTGCCGGCTTAAAATGCATGACCGTGTTTTGTTTAGCATTCGGGATTCACTTTGTTCATTTAAATTATAGAATTATGTCTTGTTTTCTTTGATTTGTCTGTCAACATCAACTGAGTTTAAACCGATGTTGAATATTTAAAGAACTCAGGTTAAAAGCTTGAAATTTCAAGTAACCGGAATTGACATCCAGCGCCTGAAATTCGACAGAAGAAATTATATAAAGGTAAATGATTTACATATTCTTGTTTTTCAATGCACAATTCAAGGTCATTTTTGACGATTTAAAAAACTCGGGTTAAAAGCTTGAAATTTCAAGTAACCGGAATTGACATCCAGCGCCTGAAATGCGACAGAAGAAAATATATAAAGGTATGATTTACATATTCTTTACTTTTTAAATGCTCCATACAAGGACGTTTCCTGGTATCGGTGTTATGTGGGGGAAAGAAGAAAACAATCTAAATTATCGCGCCAAGTAGTCTCATTTCTAAGATTATCAATGTCAAACCGATTACAATGAGGCTGAAAAGCTGTTAAATCAGCATATTTTTATCTACATGTCTGCAAAAACGCTCTGTATACGAATGAGTAGATTATTGGGTTTTTAAGGATAAAATGTCTGTGACATGCAAACTAACGCAAAATTTTATGAAATTGAGATCAAGATTCGAGTTGTATAATGTCATTTAATATGTTATCTTTCTGTAAACAACAGAAATTATGTGCAAAATATCACAACATTAAGAGATTAGTTCCGTGAAAATAAACCTGATGTTTTCCAGAGTAAAGAGATAAATATTACCTATTTTGGCATGCACATTGCTTATGTATCTCTGCAACATGAGTTTTCTCTTAGCCAAATGTAGAAAAAAAAATATGATCTATATCAAGATAGTACCTTATATTTCATTTAATCAGATCTCCTGTCGTCAAAATGAACAGAATGTATTGTAACAAACTGACTGTTTGGTGTTTTTACAAAGATCACAAAGATTATAACGATTTAATTACATATATCACTTGAGAAATGGTTGCAGTTTTACCGTTTGCAAAAGGAAAACATCACATCAAATTTCCAAAAAATGTTAGATATCTTCCATAATTCATTAGATTACATGTATGAAGTGGAGTGTATTCATCCTGTGTCACCGTATGAACTATTCTGATATGCTTTTACTTGTCAAATAAATCTGACACTCCACCCGTTGTTCCTCCATTATTCTGATTCAGAGTAAAAACTGCTGATTTAAACTGGCTCTTCACGACAGTAACTTACCTTCCCGGAGGCTGGGCAAATGGGACTCCAAGAAACACTATAGCATCATTCGTTATCTTTCCTTGGATCCATCCATGTGCTGTTTCGACAAAAACACATTCTATACCTTTGCAACTAAGACACACAACGATAACTACAACTAAACTTGTTCTCCATGAACTCTTCCCCATGGCTTTTTCGAGAAATGTGTATAGTTTGTTATGGAATACTTAAGAAAAAGCCCTCTCCCTAAACACAAATGACTGATGTACTCCTGCCCGCAGGCTATGACGTCACTTGTTATTTCGATGATTTGCACATATAAATCATGTATTGGCATTCAAACTGCCCATCAAGGAATTTTATTTTTTGAAAGCCTTCATGTATATATATGTAATTTATTTATATGTTGATGTACTTTTATTAAAGATGGCATACTTGATATTTCGATTTCTGATTTTTAGATCGTTTTTCTTATCGCATATTAACTCAATTTTACTTTGAAAGTTTGAGCATGCGTATTTTCAGCTTAGGAAGCTTTTACAACTGGTCCCGAGATGATATAATATTTTCAGGCGGCAGGTAAATTCATTGTATATTAGTTTCACTCCAGTTTATGTTTTTCTTCGTTCTTCTCCCTGGATACATGTACATAGCTTTTCATAATTATTTTTAATAATTTAATTTTTCTCCTCTTCAGGATTATCATTTTTAAAAATCTTTTTATTATGGGCACGCACCCTTGTAATAATATAATGTTTTTAAAACACTAATGATGGAATATAATATGAAATGTTTTGAAATATAATAAAGTTTTTCAATTTCACAGTCACACTTCTTTTAATGAAAGGAAAATATCATCCGCACAAGAAGTGTTCGAAACAATATCCGACATTTCTTGAGTTCCTTGTGCCATGAGTGTTACTTTTCATTTGAATGAGGGAGTTGTAATTATTTGGAGGTTTTCATGTTATCTTTAGTGGAAAACAAAGAATTCTGTCTGTTTGCTTTTGATTTACTGTCAAAATATCTCTTCTCATTCTGTTTTTCATCTGGAATTTAATAATTAGTCTGTATTGTCTAGAAATGGAACATACATTCCCGATTATTTTCAAACTTCAGATTAAAAATATGATTGCATTTATTCTTTAAATCGATTCCCCACAAGGAGACACATTAGATTCCACAACTATTTTACAGTGAATTGACCACAATTCAAGATATATATTCAAGCTACCAAGTCATAAGACGAGTTTATTTCGCATGCTCATTAACAGGCTTTTCATTTGAAATAGCAACTTTTCACTGACTTTGAATTCATGTTTTTACAGATTAAAGATAACTTTGTACAGATTTTTACATCAAACATAATAAAATTTAGAAAAGTTGAAATCCTAACAAGGATATTTACTGCACTGTAAGATCGGTTACTCCAAAGTATTAAATTTTTAAATGTATTCAAATTTCGGAAAGGGACCAGGCAATATTTATCACCAGGGTGGAACTGGGGCAAAAAAATATGATAATAATTATAAAGTAAAATTAAATTTTAAAAAAAGCCTTGGTCCCATACTTTACTGAGTGTTCCTTCTTTTTAGCTCTACTGGTCAGAGACTAGAAGTAAGGTGTGCCAGGTCCGTCTTTCTGCCTGTTTGTTTGTAAACACTTTTTCATAGTGCTACTCCTCCTACAGTTTGGGTCAAATTTTATTATAACTTAGTATACAAGTAGACTAAGCTAAGAAGCACAATTCAATTCATCAGTTTTTGAAATTAATGAACGGAATTGCCGTGGTTAATATAAATAGTAATTTCTGCGAAATTCAAAATGCTACTCCTCCTACAGTTTTAGTCTGATTTCAGTATAACAGGGTACACAAGTAGACTATTCTATATACATAATTCCTTTCATCGGTTTTTGATTTGACAAACGATGTTGTCATAGTTACTTTTGAAAAATAGAAATTTCTTTGAAATTCTGTCAAAGACTATTCCTCCTACAGTTTTGGTCTCATTTCAATAAAACTTTCTACACAAGTAGACTACACCAAGATACATAATGTTTTTGTATCAGTTTTTTATTTGATGAACAGCCTTGTCATTGTTACTATAACAGAAATTTCTGTAAAATTCTTTCAAAATGCTACTCTTTTCACAGTTTTGGTTTGATTTCAATACGATCTGGTACACAATGAGACTACATAGGTACATAATTCTGTATATTGGTTTTTGATTTCGACAAAAATATTGCCATGGTCACTTAAAATAGAATTTTCTTTGAAATTCTTTCAATACATTATTCCTCCTAAGTTTTGGTCCCATTTCAATAAGACTTAGTAACATGTAGACTATACAAGGATAAATCTTACTTTATCATAAATATACATCAATAGAGCTACAGTCTCGTCATAGACTTCTTGTTTATATTATTTTAATGAAATATTGTAAGAAGACTTGATTTTCAAAGGATCCACCATCATATTAATATCAGTCAATCGATTTTGGCGTGTTCTCTTAATTGGCCATAACTTTTTTTATTTTCCTATTAAATATGGCATATTTTGTATCAATTGCTCTTTTGTAATTTAGCATGAAGTTTCTAATTCTAAAATGATATATTGATTTCCAGACAATTTTGAAATGTTAAAGGAGACAGAAGAAAGTTTCGCACTCAGGGCGACGTCTAAGTTGTGAAAAAAGGATCCGGTTTATTTTAGAGTACTGTTCATATATATATATATATATATATATATATATATATATATATATATATATATATATATATATATATATATATATATATATATATATATATATATGATTTTAAAGCGTTCTCTCACTTTATTACAAAATACAGTCATACCTTGTATAAATATTCAATTATATAATAGTGTTATTATTTGGATGTACTATGCCGAAATAGTAGTCAGGGTTTGACACATGGTGCACGAGCCGGAGGCGAGTGCACTATGTGTCAAACCCTGACTACTATTTCGGCATAGTACATCCAAATAATAACACTATTATAATTATTATGCTGACTGTTGTTTGTATACGACAATTTAATTAAATTCTCAATCCCAAACCTGTTTGCAGACGTTAAATCTAAATGAAAATTTTCTTGAACATTCTTTAATCAAGCGTTATATCAAAAAGCGTTTTATTGACTCCGAAGAACCAGTTCATGTTACGTTGCAATTTTGGTTACTGATAAATTCCATTATTTGTTAGAGAATTTTTCTTTAAGATCCTTATCAATAATATTAGTCTTTTAGAAATTATATTCATTTATTTCTTGTTTTGTGACAAATGTATAAAAACTACGTTTATATAGTTGAAAATACATTCCGTAAAGTAGCGGTGTTTGTGGCGTAATCGGTAACGCGTTGGACTGACGTTCTCGAGATCGTGAGTTCGATCCCCAGCGTGGGTGCTCATTACATTTTCTCTAGAAAAGACAGCCGTGCACTATTTCGGCATAGTATGCTTACGCTATATAAATCCTTAGAACACTATGCGAAAATAGTTGGGTATTGATTATATAGAGACAAACTGACAGGAAGCATAATAATACTTAATATAAGGTTCCGTAATTAGGCATTTGCATACAAATTGTCTGATTTTCTTATTTAATATTTCAAGTGACGATTTTTGTTTCATAGTGTTTTATAGAGGAAATATATGAATGCCTCATCCATTACTGCTGTAATAAAAAAAATACTTGTCCCATCCTAATGAAGGCCAAAAATATCAGTCCCATCATATTTTCCACCGGTCCCACCCTGGTGATAAATATTTGCCTGGTCCCTAAAATCATTCTTTCGCTAAAATTTTATATCTTGATTTTGCTACCGGAATTGATCGGCACTTGCTGACAAAAAATTTTATTGAGATGAATTTAATTAAACCTTAGTAATGGGCCTCAATGCTCCATCCATACAAAGAGATTGGCAATGCGGATAAGATCGCAGTGCGGGTTGCATATTTGATACAATCAGGTGAAGAATGTAAAACAGTTCCAGGAAAATTTCCTACAACATTTTTTTTCCCTTTGAAGTTGGTGATTGATATATTAAACGACATCAACCTTCCTAGTACATTAAGAAACATTATTTTATTTGTAAAAGCTAATTAATCCGTAAACAATTACATGTCTGTGACAGCGTAACATACGAAGTACGTCTAGTAGTACTTCTGGCCTTAGTACTTAACATACTGTGCAACAGGTTATACGAAATGCATGTTTGCTTTTCTCATGGTTTTATTTGTAGACGTATTCCAGTTTCAACTTGTTCACCAAACAGAAAGTGTCAATTAGAGTAATGATTTCGATTGTACCCATTTCCGTTTTGTCGATCGACAGCGTCTCATAACTAAACATGCGATCGTGCAACGACCGCAACATACAAAAAAAGTATTACGTGAGTATCTCATTAGCAAAACTAACCTCCCCCTCCCCCCTACAAGCAAATGTAATTTGGTTCCCCTAAAAATTAAAAAGGCCGTAATACCATAAAAAATCATCGAGGCGTGACGAAATGCAAATTCCAACTGTAATTAATAAGGAAATGTTTAACATCATGTAAATTATCATGGTGTAAATTTGGAATTTTGTGGATGGATGTAAATGTAAAATTTACAACAAATATCTTTTAAATTTTGCGACTACCTCCACCCAGTAGATGCTACATTTTCAACACGAGAATCGGAATCAACATAAATGTTGAAATATTTTGGCGAGGGGTAATGTATTATATGTAAAATTTTCTGTTTTACCCTAATTTTTGCGTATTTCCTTTTTCCTATCTGTCTTTTCCCATTACAAGCTTTTCTTTTAAAAAAGATAGGTGAGCTAGCGCGTTAGCCATCATAAAACACAGAAGTAGATATCTGAACCCTTTGTTAAGTTGCTGAATCGATTAATTATTAATAGGTGCAGTGGTGCACTGGGGTGGTGTAAGGTGGGGGGTCTCAATTCAGAATGAATGGTGAAAGTGGGCTTCACATCTGCGATGGCATAAGTCATTAACTGTGCTTTAAGCATTCTGTAGCTTACTGTTATTTCAATTTTGAGGTGAAATATAAGAGATCAGTAGAACCTAGGTATGGACACCTAGTTTAAAATAATCCAGTGTAGTACTGTTTTATAGCAATCGCATCTTCTCGGGTCTTTCCGGTAACATATACAACCTGATTAAAATCAGATCCTTTAAT